CTATAAAAAAATGAAACGAAATAGGATCTGTGTTTTATTTTTAATCAGATTGTCGAAATAACTTAATTCCACATTGTATTTTAACCTACATGAATTCGTTCTGCCACTTTTAACTCAACATGTTACCTGGTTTTCATGAAGAATATTTGGCAGTGTTTGTTTTTAGACAGTTGGAATGTGTAATATATATAGATATAGACCTACTGATATAAAAATAACCCATGCTTTTCCTTTATCTATGTATTTATACCTAAATACCTCATTTACAAGTTTAAAATGATGTCTCAACAGATGATACCTCCTATAAAAAATTGTAAGGCTTTTGTTGTTAGTTTCGCTTTTGTTGTTGGCATCAGTACATCTAATTTGTGATCTATTAACGACAGGATTCTCACGTCTCTGTCTCGAGCAGCCAACTTGAAAACAAAAACCTGTGGAACTTTGTGAGTCTGTTTCTCATTTGTCATCGATATTTGTTATGTGGGTGGCTAGGAGTTGTATCTAGTTTTTTGGATTGTATGAAAAATAGAGGTTTGGTTATACACATATAGTATCCCTTGACAGTTGGAATTTGAAAGAGTTGATAGAAATGCCAGTGTTTTGGCAAATTCATGTCATACTACACTGTAGTCACACAGATAAAAATAATGTTAGTTGCCAAATGACCAAATAAATGTACTGTTATAAGACATTAAACTCTGTTCATTTCTTTGCCTTTAGAATTCCCGGTTGTATGTGACAAGGAGTAGTGTCGCCTGTCCAACCTTGTGGGTTTTCTCTGGGTCCTCTGGTTTCCCCCCACTGCTAAAGACCCCTACGCACAAGCGAATTATTGAAATAAAATTGAACCATATGTTAGTCCTGAAATGACCAAGTTTGTGTCGAGTGGAGGTTAAACCCCATTTCTCTCTCTCCTTGCCTTTAGAAATATATATGGTTTTTGTTAGCGCCTTAAGAAAACTTTAAAATGTTGATAACTTCTATTGTCTTATCTTGTGTAATTTATACACAAAATAATAGAAGAGAATTGTCTTCACGGTATTTGAATCGTGACAATCGAGAATTTGAAACAATAAAATACAGATATAAAGGTCGTTTGAACTATGTCCGTCTGCGTGTGGTATACGAATTAAAGTATTTAATCATACAGCCAATCTAACCTCGTCACATTCTCACTTGATCGTTTTGAAGTTAGAATTTTGTTTTATTTCAATGTTTTTGGTTTTTTTCCCATTATTCTTCCTGAAGATCTGATACAAAACTGGTTATATTGTTACACACAGACAAGCCACATAAAGTTTGGGATATAAATTTTAGATAATGACATTTAGATCGGAATGTCCGAAAGATTTTTAATCATGTCTTGGTCTAAGTATTCAACATATTTATTTGATGATATGGTATTAAAGGAGGTAAATCACTAATATTTGGGACCAAGAAATTGACACAAATGGATCGCAACGCATATAATAATGTAATATGAATGTATATAAACTGATTTACATTCAATCATTTCTGTTTTTACTGTAATTTCTAATCACTAATGTTCGGCGAAATACACCAAAAGTCTCAATCGAATGGCAATCTCTAGTATCTAGTTATTCCAGTCTACACCGATAGTATTTATTGCGCATGCTCTCCAGATAAGAATATGGCGTCACCATTTGACATGTGGAATATGTCTAGCCTCGTTCTCCGAGTCCCTTGTTACAAATGGTGCTGAAACGCATTATGGTACACGATTCTTGTACCAATAGTAAAATATTTATTTTGTCTTAATATTGGATATCAGAAGCCCATCTTTTCCCGATAAGATCACAACCTCAATATTGATTTAAATTGACAAATAATTTGTGTTTTCAGTGTCGAAGATTTTGGAAGATATTGAGTTAGAGACTTGGCTACTTTAAAACCAATAGATCTCGTTTTCTAGTATTGACCCGTTTCATTTTAGGTTTGGTCATGTGGCTGAGAATAGTTTGTTTTTGGTCGTCCCCGCAATAAAGTATTTTAAATATGTATGTCATGTTTTTATTTTGGAAATATAATGTTTGATATTGGATTAGAAAGAAAAGGACAAATTAGAAGTTTTGTGTTTATTTGAAATAGCCTACAAGTTCATGTATACAAACACAGGTGTAATGTATTGACTTTAATGAAAAATATCTAAAGATTAGAAAGTTAGAGCGATGATATTTTATAAAAAAAAAGACAGATTAGAGGTTTTTTTATTTATTTGAACTAGCCGACAAGTAAACAAAATACCAGCATAATGTGTTGAACTTTAAAAAAAATATCCCTGAAGATTTAGAAAGTTCTAATTGTTTGTGAATATAGGGATGATTTTAAAAACCCCCCAACAGATTAGAGTTTTTTATTTATTTGAAATAACCTACAAGTGTACAGAATACCAGCATAACGTATTGACTTTAAAAAGAATTCTAAAGATTAGAAAGTTCTAATTGTTGTGTGAGCAATAGAAGTAACATATCAGTGAGTTTTTTTATATCATGTTGTGCGTAGATATTGGCAAGGTTAAACACATATACACAGATTAAACTATAAAAAACTTTCACTTACGACACGAACTGGTTGTAATAATTGGTGTTAGATAACTATACACATCTGTCATGTTGCCAACATCATCAAATATTCGATTTACACGCTGAAAGATGGTGATTATCTCTTTTATTATATACATATGTACTCAGGGTATATTTAGACTTGAACAATTTGAAAATGTGTGTTAAATGTTTGTATGCTAGGGACCCGTTATTACGTGTATATATATGTTCGAGAGTTTCTGAGCAAGACGTTATGACATTTCTTTCATATTTATTATTAACGAATCGTGATCTTTATGTCATGACCTAAAGGCATTTTAAGTGTAGTGATGAGTTTATGAGTGTGTTGAAATTGAACGTTAAGGTTACAATTCTATGGAATACATTATACTGTTTATTACTGAGCGATGTTTCGACTAGGCTTCTCTAGTCTGTATCAAGCAATGATACATCTTATCAAGCCCTTCATGTAATACCCCTGCATATTTTAGCACTAATTTCGATTTGGTATAAGCCCAGCTTGTGATAATATCAGATTCCTTCGTTAAAAATATCGTTACGATTAAAATGTCTACATGTGACAATCGAGTTGCAAAGTTCAAGGTTCGATCAATGTCAAGGTTACTGGAAATCATGGCTGATCAACACAGGCTGTAAACTTGTCTATTTCTTTTTTTAAGGAGGCTGCCATATTTGTTTACAGTGTGTTATGTGCCACGACCTCTGATTGGACAATGCTAATTAGTCACGTGTAAACACAACGAGCGCAAAGGTTCGGGAATTGTTGAGTTTTGAAGCAACGGCTAGATGTTGTAAAACTTGCGGTCGTTGCTTCAGGAACATGGCAATGGTCATGCTAGGTTCCAACTGTCGTGCGATGCATCACAATACAGTTGTTCTATTGGGTCCAAGATCTGGTATGTGGAGATACGCTCTGATACGTTTTGATAAGATCAACACAATTACTACGACTGACGTCAAAATATGATAAGAACTGATGGGATCACCAATATTTTAGTCGCAGCTCGAATCGTGATAGTGGGAACCTAGTGTTAAATATGAAATATGACGAGACAATATATACATATGTACACAACAATATTTGGTTAATGCTGACCAACTAGAGACACTTTTCTAATTACCTTGAAGGAAACCTAACTTGATTATGGTCTGGATAAGTTAATTAATGTCTAATTAATAGTTTAGATAAAATTTAAGGCCTAAAGAAAGACCTGCAATAGGCAGATTTACCTCTTGCATAATGCATGTTTAAATTCATAATAATCATTATAAAAGTGATCAAGGATGATAAGCGTAATACTTATGATAACATCCAGTTTTACCTGATTAATGGATAACTTGTTGTGAAGTACTGACAATGATTTGATCAGGTTAAAATAACCACAACACCTTGAAAGAAGATGAAATTTGATTAATACTCTCAATGAAAAATGTTAATACAGGCCGGTAGAGGTACATCAATTTGAATTCTGGTTCTTGAAGCACAACTGATAGAATTTTGCTTCCTATTACATCATGGAAAAAAATTCTTCGGTTGTAGGTGGCAAGGAGTAGGGTCACCTGTCCAACCTATTGGGTTTTCTCTGAGTCCTCTGGTTTCCTCCTAGGGGGGTTGGATGGCTGAATGGTTAGCGTGCGCGCGCTGTATCATAAAGTCTGTCATTGAGTCGACTGGCGTGGTTTCGAATCCCCGGTTGTACGTGACAAGGAGTAGGGTCGCCTGTCCAACCTCGTGGGTTTTCTCCGGGTCCTCCGGTTTCCTTCCACTGCTAAAGACCCCTACGCGCAAGCGAATTATGTAAATACAGTTAAACCATATGTTAGTCCCGAAATGACCTAGTTTGTGTCGAGTGGACGTTAAATCCCATTTCTCTCTCTCGGTTTCCTTCCACTGCTAAAGACCCCTACGCGCAAGCGAATTGTTGAAATAAAGTTAAACCATATGTTAGTCCCGAAATGACCTAGTTTGTGTCAAGTGGACGTTAAACCCCATTTCTCTCTCTCTCTCTCTGGTTTCCTCCGACTGCTAAAGACAATTAAACCGTATGTTAGTCCTGAAGTGACCTACTTTGTGTCGAGTGGACGTTAAACCACATCTCTCTCTCTCTGTCAAGGAAAATAAACTAATTTAAAAAAAAAGTACATTTTTCGCCAGACTCTAATGGCTATTTATTTATTAAGAGCTTGATGAATTAAAAAATAAATTGGTTTGGCCTAATGATGATCAGTCTTGAATCCAGTGTTTTGATTTCGTTTTAGAACATTATTTTGTGTTAATGATTGTTTTGAATTGTATTATATTGTGGTTCTAAGCGATAACATTTCCAAATGCCTTTATTTTATTACTGCTTTAATGATAATGTCAAATGTCAGTCTATATCAGTCTATTCATTTTTTTAAAAATGTATTTTTCAGGAACCATGTATATTCTCTAGGCCTAACTGATATCAGTGATAAGTTGAAGGTAAGAAAAAATTTATAAAATTCTCTCAGAAAAAAAAAAAAATGTGATTAAAGGTGATGACTGATTGTTGCAAGAGAGCCACGGTGGCTAAGTGTGTAAGACCCTGGCTCGCTAGGCTGGAGGTTGCATGTTCGATCCCTGCATTGGCCGAGAAAGTTTCCCTTTGTCAGTGGTCCAAGACGGAGGGTGTGACAATGACAGCTGTCTAGTTGCTTGGATGGGATGAAAAGCCAAGGTCCCATGTACACATTGGCGTGAATGTAAAAGATATCTTGGCAGTTAGAATTCAATATAAGAGTAGGCCGTAGTGCAGCTGTCTGGGCAAAATTTCCCTCATTTCATTTCAGTCAAGTATCCTCCATGAAAATGGTGGTCATTTAGCAAGAGGTCCACTAATATTCTTCCCTATATCAGGTGTAATTTTGGGCCACAATTTTACAGTTCTCCTAATCTTAAATGTCCCCTGTACATATTTTAACTGTAGTCTTCTCAGAATATTACTATTATTTTACTGTATTATTCAGATTAAAAAACAAGATCTGAGTCCAAGAAGTAAAGATGTTAGAAGATGTTATATACAGGGAAAAAATGAGGTAAGTTCAGGTGTAACAGAGTTGTCTCCCATGTACTAAGCTTGTACAGTACTTACCCAGTTTGAAAATCTTTCCCTAGAATATTCAAATATGCAAATGATACAAATACTTTGAACCAACAGAATGGATACATGGAACTTCAATATTTTAACACTATTTGTAAAAGCATTGTTCCTATATTAAATTAAAGATTTATAGCCAGTGAACATGAAGCTCTAGTTGTAATTCATTAGGGAGTCAAACATCTTGTTCTTTATACATTCTTAAAATACAAATGTGAAGTCATACTTTGATGTTGGCTTAACATTATTTTAAATAATGGTACGGGCATTGTGCCTAGCGTACATTATTATATTAATTTAAATATTGCAATGCACATGCTTGATAGTGTATGTATTTGAAGTTGTTTAATGGTCTCATGCAAGACAATGTGTAATATATAGATATAGCCCTCGTGCTGACGCCCTCGTGCAATATCAATATAGTACTTAACGTCTCGCCCTTGACCATTAAACTGGGGGTTGGATGGCTGAATGGTTAGCGTGCGCGCGCTGTATCATAAAGTCTGTCATTGAGTCGACTGGCGTGGTTTCGAATCCCCGGTTGTACGTGACAAGGAGTAGGGTCACCTGTCCAACCTCGTGGGTTTTCTCCGGGTCCTCCGGTTTCCTCCCACTGCTAAAGACCTCTATGCGCTAGCGAATTATTGAAATAAAATTAAACCATATGTTAGTCCCGAAATGACCTAGTTTGTGTCGAGTGGACGTTAAACCCGATTTCTCTCTCACTCTTCGACCATTAAACTACATGTACATAATACATACTAATTTGTATTTTTCAGATGCCAGATTGCCAAAGTCATGTTAAATTTATAGCAACTAATATAAGTGCTCCGAATACATTATTTGTCTGTGCGACTGGAGCTTACCATCCCAAAAGTTACCAAATAAATGTAAGTTTTAACATGTCTATATTACTTTCAATATTCAATATAATTCCATGATTCGTCTGGTTACCATGACAACTAAACTGTACAAGATGGTGTGGGGGGTTGGATGGCTGAATGGTTAGCGTGAGCGCGCTGTATCATAAAGTCTGTCATTGAGTCGACTGGCGTGGTTTCGAATCCCCGGTTGTACGTGGCAAGGAGTAGGGTCGCCTGTCCAACCTCGTGGGTTTTCTCCGGGGCCTCCGGTTTCCTCCCACTGCTAAAGACCCCTACGCGCAAGCGAATTATGTAAATACAGTTAAACCATATGTTAGTCCCGAAATGACCTAGTTTGTGTCGAGTGGACGTTAAATCCCATTTCTCTCTCTCACAAGATGGTGTCGCAGTAGTTCTGTTGTAGGGAACTGTCCCTCTCGTTGAGAATGTCTTGGATTTGAAGAACCTTCAGGATTTTTGTGCCAGGTTCTCCACTCAGGAGGGTACCTAGTCATTATGATGGTATGAAGAACCAAGGTCACCCGTCGGTGGAAGCGCATGTTCAGTAAAGCTATTTCACACACTGGAATTCGAAAACAATTGTGGCTTTTATCCAGGGCCCTCACAAGCCTATGTTGCGCCCCAAGGCAAAAGTTTCAGAAGGTTAGTCCATAAATATTTAAAGGGTCTCCCTTTGAATATTTCTGGTATGCACTTAGATAATTTGCCTCCCCTCAAAAAGTGTCTCCTCTGGGCATATGCCCCCTTAGTCACCCCAACACGAGGGCCCTGCTTTTATCACCTAGTTTGTCACTGACGTTTCACAAATTCTGTATCAGAATTGATTTAAGATGAAAAATTATGTTGTCGAAGAAAAGAAACATTTCAATTTTAATTAGCACATAAAGAAAATATGAAATACTTTAATCATGTTATCTATGTATACAGTCTTGAGTCAAGTTAAATTGATCATGTTAATCATGTTATCTATGTATACAGTCTGAGTCAAGTTAAATTAATTATGTTATCTTTCTATACAGCCTGAGTCAAGTTAAATTAATTATGTTATCTATCTCTATGTTTTACTAGATCCAGTATAATAGTTTATCTATACAATCTGAGTCAAGTGGTATAGGAATGTGTCCATATGATCCATTTGATAATGCTACAGCAGTATTAGTAGGCAAGTATTAAACAACACCAACAGTTTATAAATTAACTTTCAGATACCTGTATAGGCTTACACTCTTCTTTACATTTAACTTTGGTTGTACTTTATTCAAAGTTTGTTATTTTGCTTGTGTGAACTGACATGGTTTTCGATTCCCAGCTTGTACATGACAAGGAGTAGGGTTGCCTGTTCAACCCCGTGGGTTTTCTCCAGTCCTCCGGTTTCCTCCCACTGCTTAAGACCCCTACGTGCAACCGAATGACTCTATTGTTGAATATTCTGTCTTGTGTTTGTCTGTATTCAGTTTAGATTTTGCTCAAGAGATTATCTACGGTAACATTTTTCTTGTAATGTTTTTAAAATCTCCAATATAAATTGTTTCAGTGATTGAACTTGAATTTACACAGATCACAATTATATGGATTATAATGACTGTTTATTACTGAGCGATGTCTCGACTAGGCATCTTTAGTCTTTATAGAGGAGCCTAATCAAAAAGTCACTCAGTATTAAAGTAGCTAAGTCTTTAACTCAACATCAGCTACAGTCTTCGACATTGAAAACACGAATTATTTGTCAATTTAAATCAACGTTCATGTTGTGATCTTACTGTGAAAAGATGGGCTTCTGATATTCAATATTTAAAGATACATTATGGGAGATTAGATAATTAAAGAGATGGCAGTTCTAACTATAATAGTTAAAAACTAGATATGTATCTGATATGTGGTAATTAATAAATGATTTTATATATTTATAGAGAGTGATAATCCAGGAAATGTACCAGCTCTATATTCTGGTACGGTCACAGATTTTATTAAAGCTGATCCTGTTATATTTAGACCAGCTTTATATCATAGAAATAGAACGCAGTCAGCAGCTTACGTCAGAACATTACGCAATGATCATAAATGGTTAAATGGTATGTTTATAGCCTTGTAATTATCAAATTATATGGGGTGGGGGGAGGGTGGTAGATGGCCGAATGGTTAATGCATCTACGTTGTATCAGAAGGTCTGTCAAGTCAAGTAGCGTGGTTTCGATTACCCGTTTGTAACCTCTGACAAGGAGTAGGGCCACTTGTCCAACCTCGTTCTCCGTTTTCCTCCCACTGCTAAGGACCCCTACGCGCAAGTGAATTATTGAAATAAAATTGGACCATATGTTAGTCCCTAAATGACCTAAATGGCTAAATGGTTAATGCATGCGCATTGTATCAGAAGGTCTGTCATTAATTCAAGTAGCCAGGTTTTTATTCCCTGCTTATGTTTGACGAGGAGTAGAGTCACCTGTCCAACCTCGTGGGTTTTCTCCGGTTTCCTCCCACTGCTAAAGACCCATATGCATAAGTGAATTATGGAAATAAGATTGAACCATATGTTAGTCCCGAAATGACCAGGCTTGTGTCGAGTGGATGTTAACTCTTTAAATAGAGCAGAGCAGAAATTACAACATTTCTGAAAACTACCTACCTAGCTCAATTTCATTTGAATTATTAGGTTGACACATTTCTTTGCACTAATTACAATATGAATTATTTGTCATGTTAACGTCTGATTAATATACATGAATGGAAATCGTAATTCTAATATTTTTCACAATAATCTTACAGAACCTCAGTTTGTTGGGTCATTTGATGTTGGAAGCCAGGTTTATTTCTTTCTGCGTGAAGTGGCATTAGAATATCAGAACTGTGGAAAGAAAATATACTCCAGGATAGCTCGTGTCTGCAAGGTAAGATGTTCTTTATTTACTTATTTTGAAAGTTGGCAGAAACTTTAATTGATAGCCATGAGGATATTATTAGTCCTAGATGTGCAAGTATTTCAAGAAAAGTTTTCTTCAGAGTGGTTCCTGCAAGATGGAGGGTCTAACAAGGAAAGCAGTCTAGTTGTTTGGTTGGGATGAAAAACAGGTCCTGTGTAGGCCTACACATCGGTGTGCACGTAAAAGATCCCTTGGCAGATGGAATTAGTAGGCTATAGCGCCGCTGTCCGGTAAAAATTTCCCTCATAATACACTGTAGGGCATATGTCCGTCGTTGGAGCAGAACAGTAGGACGTTAAACACCATTTCATTTCATTTCATTTCTAATATTGGACCAGAGATCAACGAAAGAATCACGGTGGTAAAGCTGTATGGATGGACATCATATCAAACACATTTAATTAGAATATTATTATAAAACATTATAAACTTTATTTTCTAGAATGATCGAGGTGGTAAAGCCGTATTAAACAGTGTATGGACGTCATATCAAAAAGCCAGATTAAACTGTTCTATACCGGGAGAATATCCTTATTACTTTGATGAAATACGTAAGTTTTACCCATTTCCGTGATATTTAGAGAAGATTGTGATTGAAAGAATATCTGAAGTCAACTGACTCATCTCTAACATAAAATATGTGCATCGTAATTACATTTTTTGAGTGGGGCTTAAAAATGGCATGATGGGCCTCTTTGTAATCCGATTGAATCCTGGCTATGAGGAGCCATGGTGGCTAAGTGAGTAAGACACTGGCTTGCTAGCCTGGAGTTGTTGGCCAACAGAGTGTTCCGTAGGATTTGCCAGCAGGGTTTCCCCTTGCTGGAGAGGGAACCTGACAAGGACACAGCTGCCTAGTCGTTTGGATTTGACGAAAAACCGAGTTCCTGTGTACACATTGATGTGCACGTAAAAGATCCCTTGGCAGTTGGAAGTTGATATCAGAGTAGGCTGTAGCGCCGCTGTCTGTGTATTATTTCCCTCATAACACTCTGTATGAAGTATTCCCATCTTCATTAGACCAGTTCGAAATAGGACAGTGGGACATTAAACCCCATTTTATTGTATTTATTGTATTTATTACAGAGGATGTATATACAGTTGATGGCCAGACATTTTATGGTTTATTTACAACTAATATGTAAGTATACAGAGTCTTTTAGATCTATTTGATAAGACCATCTTCAAGTTTGGTCAAAGGTCATGAGATGTAAACAGGGCTAGCGCTTATCCCAACCCTAATCCTAACCCGGGATCTAGCCCAAATGCTTACCCTAACCCTAATCTACAATCTCACCAACAATCACATGCCCTAACCTTATTTACATCTCAGCGACCTTGACAAAAATTGAGCTGGCCTTAATGAATAGATTTAGCCTTACATGCCCTTAAAGAGAGATATGTTACAGCAGGACTAACACACGATACAAATTCATTTCAGTAATTCGTAGGGTTGTATAGCAGGTCACGGAAACTGGAAAACCTACAAGGTTTGGCAGCAACCCGTGCCTCTTGATTCAACAACAAACCTTATAATCTAAAGTGGACACATTAGACCACATGACCACCCAACTCCCACCCAACTCCCACCATGCCCTCAAACAAATCTGATTTATTAAATCGACACCCACCTTTGTTTTAATAACAGATGCTTACATTTCGCCTTTACATAAAATAACTGAACCAAGATTGGTTAATATTTTTTTTATATTTTAGCAATGGATTAACAGCCTCAGCAATCTGTGCCTTCTCGGTACAAGACATAGAAAAAGCCTTCAATGGACCATTTAAAGATCAATCCCATAGTAAAGCCAATTGGTTACCTGTACCGGAATCAGATGTACCTTATCCTAGACCCGGCAATGTATGTACAGAGTTATTTTTGTAAATTAAACTCTACAGTTGTTTTATAGAATGAATAGGATGAATTTAGTGTACTAAGCTCTACAGTAAACTCTACAGTTGTTTTATAGAGTGAATGCATGACACTAAACTCTAAAGTGAATATTTGATACTAAGCTCTGCAGTTGTTTTATAGAGTGAATGTATGATATAAACTCTACAGTTGTTTGATAGAGTGGATGTATGATACTAAACTCTACAGTTGTTTTATAGAGTGGATGTATGATACTAAACTCTACAGTTGTTTTATAGAGTGAATTTGTTATACTAAGGTCTACAGTTGTTTTGATAGAGTGGATGTATGATACTAAACTCTAAAGTTGTTTTACAGAGTGAATTTGTTATGGTTGTTTTATAGAGTGAATCTATTATGCTAAACTTAACATGTCAAAATATGTCAAATAGAAAACTTCATATGAAATAGAAAACAAACACAAAAATTCTTATCATGACCGTTTTGCGTAATCAAAATCAACAAACAACTGGCCATTTCATTTTAATGAATTGTCCAAGAGTATTATTTCTATTTCTTTCAGAGCCACGGTGGCTAAGTGGGGTAAGGCGCTTGCTCGCTAGTCTGGAGGTTGTCTGTTTGATCCCTGCACTGGCCGACGTGGTTTCCCCTTGTCAGTGGTACAGGACAGATGGCCTGACAAGGACAGCCGTCTAGTCTTTCGGATGCGTCGGAAAAAACAAGGTCCCATGTATACATTGGAATGCACGTAAAAGATCCCTTGACAGTTGGAATTGGATATAAGAGTAGGCCGTAGTGCCGCTATCTGTGCAAAATTCCCCTCATAGCACACTGTATGGCATATGCCCGTCTTATTAGCCCATTCGGAATAGAACAGTAGGATGTTAAACCCCATTTCATTTTGTTTCTATTTATATCTATGTAATATTAAATTTATATTTCCAGTGTTCAATTGAGGATTCTCGATCTCTACCTGATACTGTTGTTAATTTTGTCAAAGATCGACCATTGATGGATAAAGCTGTTGCCCAACAATTTGGTCGTCCAATCTTCTATAAGGGTAATTGTTTAATGCAGAGACTGGCTGTAGAAGCTAACGTATCTGGAAATGGAGAACTTGTCTTTTATACTGCTAGTAGTAAGTTTTATTTAATGTTTCAAACGGATTATAAATATAACATTTTTCATGCAATCTGATTCAAACACAGATCATATTTCGTTTTACTAGTCTTCACAACACTATGATATGTTATATAACAGGCGAACTAGTTGATGTAAGGAATTAGCCAATGAAACAGTCTGTTAATTAAGGCGAGTTCTTGGTGTGCTCTGCCGGAACTGTGGGTAAACTACTAGAAACGTCAGCACTGATTGATTAATCAATCATAGGGTTAAAAGATGCGCGTATGACCCCTGTGCAACCTTCCAACTGGTCAGATCTTCATGTAGTGTAGGCCATCAAAAGTATAAAAAAACGAAACGAAATATAGATCTGTATTTTAATCAGATTCGTTTTACATGAAGACTGACAAAGAGTAGTTAGAAATATAGGCAATATTGTATATCTGGATTATTCAGTTGATATAAAAAGCACAGCGAGAAAAATATCTTTTTGAGAATTGAGGGCTACAAAAAGAAGACATTTATAAAAGTAGAGGATTATAAATGATAAAAATATGAATTGGAAAAAGACGAAATACAGACCAATTCTGAGGTGTATAGATAAGAGTTGTCCCCCTCTAGTCTTCAGATAACTGTTTACTATAGGATTTACCAAATATTCTGTTGTGAACATTAAGGGGAATAAATAAGAGTTGTTCCCCCTTTAGTCTTCAGATTACATCAATATGCATTATAATCGATGAGGGTTAATTTTTCTCTCTGTGTTTTAGCAAATATTCGGCGGTAACCATAAATATGTTGTGTTTGGGAATAAATAAGAGTTGTCCCTCTTTAGTCTTCAGATAACTTCAATATACATTGTGAAATATTATGACTAGCAATAGTAATGAATTATGAATAAAGAATAATCGTTCTTTATGTGTTTTATAAAATATTCTACAGTACACAGCAATCGAGATTCATGGAATTCTGTATTAATTCTATAAATTAACTTTCAGATACTGGATTAGTTTACAAGATATTTGCTAGACCATCGAAATCCGTGTTAGAAGCTCCCAGATCTATCTTATCAACAACATACAAACCATTTGATAATCCTAGGCCTATTTGGAGTATGGTTTTACATGTAAGTTATTTTGTTACTGGAGGTCGCATGTTTGATCCCTGCATTGGCCGAGAAAGTTCATTGGGATTTTCCGGCGTGGTTTCCCCATCGACCCTGAAATATTATATGTATTATAAGGTCTATGGTTTCCCCTTGTCAGTGGTGTAGGACGAAGGGCCTGATGAGACAGCTGTCTAGTCGTTTGAATGGGACAAAAAAACGAGGTCCCCTTACACATTGGCATGCACGTAAAAGATCCCCTGGCAGTTGTAATTCGATATAAAGTTTGGCCATAGGGCTGCTGCCCGGGCAAGATTTTCCTCATAGCACACTGTATGGCGTACGCCCATCTTCATTATCCCAGTTGGAGCAGAACAGTAGGACGTTAAACCCCAGTTCATTTCATTTATTGTATTTTATTGTATTAAATGGTGTTATTTACAGGATAAATATGTGTATCTTGGAACTGATTCATCTGTTGTACAACTAAATGTAATGACATGTGAGAAATATAAGAATATAGATTTATGTGTGTTTGATCCATATTGTGGTTGGAGTAAAACAGCTAGTGAATGTATACCTATACAAGATAAAAATACTAACAAGTAAGAAACAAATCTATATTCTTTAAACATACATTATGCAAGAGCTAAATCTGCCTATTGCATGTCTTTCTTTAGGCCTGAAATGTTATCTAAAGTATTAATTAGACATTAATTAACTTATCAAGACAATAATCAGCTCTTAATGCCATCATTAGTCTACGATATTTAGTGGATTTGAATACGTTTTGTGATGGACGAAATAACTGTGAAAATGGATAATCGATACTTTATTTATTATCGTACCTACGGTGGTAATGAATTGCTATTATCTCGGTTCAGAGTGGAGCAATTTTCAGCATTTTCTGTTTTCATTGTCTATTTAGTAACTATTATAGCCAGAACTGTCAGCTCTTTATCTAATCTTACCTAACGGCCCTTTAAATATTCAATTGCTTATTCTGCTTTTCAATCTGCCATTCATGTTATCATTGGTAGAGAGCAGTCAGGGCACTGAACCTTTTGATTCCAATACCACCAGTTTGAATCCTGGCATGGACAGAGAATAACCTTCTCAAGTTTTCATTCCTCGGCTGCACTTGTCAGGGGCAGCACTCCGCACTTTATGGTTCCAATTGAATAGGGAAAAAACACTACATATTGATAGTTATAAATTGATACATAGTGCATGGATGTGCTGTTGCCTGGGCAAAATTCTCCTAGAAACAAAAGCAAAATTACCATTTTATTTATCTCAAAATGATTGAATTATAATGTTAGCAAGACAATAAAACTAATTTTATTGCATTCCATGTCTTAGTTCCTCCGATTTCAGCTTTTTAAACATAAACATATATTTATTTTACAGTCTGATTACGTATAAAGATATTGATATGGTAATACCGTTAGAAAATGCCGTAGAAAATGCTTTAAATGAACCTCTGTTTGGTAAGTATTAAAGTCTCTAGACGGTTAAGTTACCGGTATGTCATTTGGTGGAGGCCATCGAAAGTATAAAAAAACGAAACAAAATATAAATCTGTATTTTAATCAGATTGCTATTGGAATATGATCAAAGGGAGGGGTAATTGTTGACTCTGAAAGGTTTTTACCACCCAATCCAATTACTTATTGCAAAATCCTGCTTTTGTCCCCGGGGGTGTTGGATAGCACGTGTGTGTTGTATCATAAGATCTGTCATTGAGTCAACTGGTGTGGTTTTGATTCCCTGGTTGTACGTGATAAGGAGTAAGGTCGTCTGCCCAACCTTATGGGTTACCTCCAGTTTCCTCCCACTGCTAAAAACCCCTATTTTCAAGCAAATTATTGAAATAAAATGAAACCATATGTTAGTCCCGAAATGACCTAGTTTGCGTCGAGTGGACCTTAAACCCATCTCTCTCTCTCTCTCTCTCTCTCTCTCTCTCTCTCTCTCTCTCTCTCTCACAATTCCAAATAATTATTGTAAAATTGTGCTTTTGACCCGTCAATATGAAAATCAATCCTGCGTCACTGTTTATATTATATGTACATATTTTATATTTTTAGAAACAAAAGAATTACGAAGATCAGCTGGTCACTCATTATCATTAAAGGTTAATTTTAAACTACATATTAGTGGAACAGTCATTTGGACAAAAAATGATTCCAAATTATCGAGTCCAAGACATATTATAGCACAAGATAACTCTCTAATTATACCAGAACTAATGTCATCAGATCAAGGAACCTATAAAGCTATTGACGATCAAGATAGACTCGTAGCTGAATATTCTGTCATGGTTGATACGTGTGAGTATAAAATCAAAATACCTCATATTTACAATATCATTTAAAGATACATTATGGGGGATTAGATAAAGAGCTGACTGTTCTCAACAAAATAGTTAAAAAATAGATAACGAAAAGAGAATATCCTGAAAATTTAAGTCAAATTGATCCACTCTGAACCGAGATATTAGCAATTGAATTTTAGGCCTAGTCTCGATCATCATTACTAAAGTCGCAAGTCGGTATGATAAAACATAAAGTCTCGATTATCCATTTTGACATTAAATCATCCATCACAAAATGTATTCAAATCCAGTAAATATCTCAGGCTAGCGATGGCATCGAGAGTTGATTATGGTCTTGTCATGTTGATAAAGAATGACCTGCAATAGGCAGATTTAGCTCTTGCATAATGTATGTTTAAATGTGGTAGTAGACGTCAAATAAAACTATTTTTACACACACAGTTGGAGCCTTGAAGCAATGCAGCATGTCATTGAATTGAAGTGAAATGTTATTTAATGTACTGCTTTTCTAATGAAAATGGACATGTCATTGATAAGTCAGGGTTGTTTTCAAATTTCAGATTGTAATTATAAAATAGACATTTATTAGGAATCCATAAGTGTTTACTGAAATCCAATGTTAAATTTCACATTATGGTTCGGACACGGTTGACAAGACAACCCTTTATTTTTGAAGCATCACTTTTTAATCTATGAAGTCTTGAGAGCAATATTTGTCTTGTAATACCGCTGGGTGTCTAGAATAGAAATAATATATGTAAATATGTTTCCATATTTGCTGGCTTAGTTACTGCCGGCTCATTTATTTTAGTATTAATGAATTGTAAATATTTATTTTATTTATTACAGCTAAAGAAGATATAGAACAAAGATGGATACAGAAGTTTGATGAATGGTGTCAAGAGTTTGAACGTTATCAAAGTGATATAAGAACATGGGTAAATACATATATTACTATATATACCGTGAACTTTGACCCTCGGTCTATAGATTTAACTTTATGTCCTGTTAACTTGAACTGTTAATGTCTAACTTAAAGGTTCAAATTATATAACTGTGTTAGGGGGATTGGGTGACCAAATGTTTAACGTGTGCTCATTGCATCATAAGGTTTGTTATTGAATCAAGTAGTGTGATTTCGATTCTCTGCCTGTATGTGACGAGTAGGGTCTCCTGTTCAACCATGTGGGTTTTCTCTTGGTCCTACGTTTTCTAAAAGACCCCTATGTGCAAGCGAATTATTGAAATATAATTGAACCATATGTTAGTCCCGATATGACCTAGTTTGTGTTGAGTGGACATCAAACCCCATCTCTCTCTCTCTCTCTGACATTTTCAACTTAGTGCCGGACATTTATTATTAATATCAGTAAAAATGACAAATCAGTGCTGGACAAAATGAGGGATTGTGCCTGACAAAGTCTGAATCTGTGCATGACAATGTCTGTGACAGGTGCCTTATTTCCAGGCTGTAACAGTATATGCCTCTATCTGAGTAAAAATTCTCTGACCTAGCATTGGACATATATAAAATAACTCACGTTAGTCACCGACTGGCCAAAGTAAAGTGTCGCTAGTCGCTACCCTGGAGATTGGGTTCAATCCCTGCACCGAGGTCCCTTGTATACATTCGCATACACATAAAAGTTCCCTTAGCATTTTGAATTTGATATAAGAGTAGGCCATAGTGCCGCTGTCCGTGCATAATTTTCCTCATAGCACTCAATATGGCGTATGCCCGTCTTCATTAGCCCAGTCGGAGCAGAACAGTAGGACATTAAACCCCATTTCATTTCATTTCATCTATTAAACCCTGTTTTATTCCATAATATTGTTTTGTATTTTATTCCTTCAGGAGAAGAAATGTAGCAACTGTTGTGAAGATCCTTCTAATGCCATTTCATCTTTTGGTGGAAAGTGAAATACCCTATCGTAATAAACTATTTAAGTCTTGATCATCATGCTCACTGTAAAACCACGGTAACTGTGATACGAATTAATCGTAATGTGATTCCAATATTATATATGTAAACAGTTTGAAATACGAGAAAAAAAAAACAAACGTGATGATGATTATTGAAATGGATAATTAGGGGACGTGTTGGGGTTTCTTTAATTAGGATTCTTCCCAAAAAAACTTTAATATGTGGATTGGCAAGTGTAAAGGATCGTGAATTGAAAATTCTCCATAAAACATTAATAAGCAGAAAGAGTTTGAAAATGGACAAATAATTTTGATAAATTGACAAATGGTAAACTATTAAAAAAATAAAATGTGAATGTTCGGACTATGAGCTGTGGATTTTAAACTATGAACAATGTATGTTCAAACTATTCTATGAGCAATGAATGTTCAAACTATTCTAACTATGAATAATGAATGTTCAAGTTCTGAACTCTGAATGTTCAAGTTCTGAACACTGAATGTTCACGTTCTGAACACTGAATGTTCAAGTTCTAAACAGTGACTCTTCAAGCTGAGAACAAAGAATGTTCGAACTACCAAATGCTGAAAATAAAATGAACTACGCAACAGAAGTTTTAAACTATTATCAACGTGCATTTATATACCAGACATAATACAACAGAAGTTCTGACCATATATGGTAAAAAATATATATGTGTGTGATGACTAAATGACCTTATGGTGCTGTGCAGTATTTGAAATAAATTCAATGGAGTTGAGTTTTCTCTTTTCATCAATGGAACTTTGTTGGTGGAACTTTTTAATGACTTACAAGCATAAAGAGTGAATTACAAACATTTTTTTATATAAAATTATATAATGGAATGTAGATATGAATTTTTTTGTCACTGATTGAACCAGAAACGAGGATGAAATGTACATATATTTATAGTATAAATTCTAAACAGAACTTTAGATATATATTTGTGGTATGAATGTAAATATTTTAATGTGCCGCCATTTTTAATTTGTGAAGAGCTAGATTTGAATTATCATAGTTTTGGGAACGGTTTATAGATACACTTGAACTTCACTGTCGCATAATTCGCTAAAAGGTGGATTTCTGTATGTTTGGTTTCAAGATGACTTTTAATAGTGTTATGGTGAATCCCTTCTGTATAGCTATAGGCATATCAGGATTTCGCTAAAATGCGGGTATAGTCAACAACAGTGTTATAGTGAAACCATGGTGTGTGGGTATAATCAGATGACCCAACAACAGTGTAATAGTGAAACCTGTAATATATTATATATAAGGGACTCACTATTACATGGGTACGATCAGTTGAACTCCACAACAGTCAATTGACCCCAACAACAGTGTTATAGTGAAACTTGTAGTATATAATATATAAGGGATTCGCTATAACATGGGTACGGTCAGTTGAACTCAGCAACAGTCAATTGACCTCAACAACCGGCGTTATATTGAAGCAGTAGTATATAAGAGACTCGCCTTTATGCTGGTACAAAAACTGGTGTTATAGTGGAGCTCTTGTGTCACTATATACTGGTATAAAAACCGGTGTTATAGTGGAGCTCGTGTGTCACTATTATGCTGGTACAACAACCGGTGTTATAGTGGAGCTCTTGTGTCACTATAATGCTGGTACAACAACTGGTAATATAGGGGAGCTCTTGTGTCACTATAATGCTGGTTCAACAACCAGTGTTATAGTGGAGCTCTTGTGTCACTATATGCTGGTTCAACAACCAGTGTTATAGTGGAGCTCTTGTGTCGCTATAATGCTGGTACAACAACCAGTGTTATAGTGGAGGTCTTGTGTATAGCATGGTCTCACTATAATGTTATTGTAGTCACCATTGTAATGAGGGTCTAGTGCATGTATTTTCCACAATAAACAGGAATTAATATCAGAAACTCCCATCAGAGTTCTTGTAGATTAGAAGCCGTTAGAAGTGAATCTGTTTTTGTTATAAAAATGTGTTCCTTTTATATTGTAATTGTAATATTAGTTTAAAGTTCACTCTTGTTTTGAGGGGTAAGGTGGGCGAATGGTTTAACGTGTGCACATTGAATCATAAGGTTTGTCATTGAGTCAACTGACGTGGTTTTTGATTCCCTGCTTGTGCGTGACAAGGAGTAGGGTAGCCAGTCCAATCACATGGGTTTTCTCCGGGTCCTCCGTTTTACTCCCACTGCTAAAGACCCCTTATTGAAATAAAATTGAACCATGTTAGTCCCAAAATGACCTAGTTTGTGTTGAGTGGACGTTCAACTCCATTTCTCTCCCTCTCTATTGTTTTGCATCATGAAGAAAAAATCGGCAAACAACAATCTTTGATATCAATCGAGGTTTCGTCTGTTTATATAGCGATGCAGAGTTTGCAACATCGAATCTATTGATGGGTTCGTCGAACGAAATTCATAGGTTGGGGTAGGGGGGCTGTCAGCATCAAAATTGGGCCCTGAAGATTTGTCTCGCGGACTTTTTTCAAATTATTGGGTTCTGATGGTCCTGATTGATTCATAAACCTCCAGGTTTACATTTACTGTAGATCGCGTAGACCCTGCTGGACCTGAATATTTGATTCAAGAGTTGTCATTTTATCAGATGTGTATGATCAAATTGAATGAATGCTATATATGTTAGTATTAATACTGTATTGTCAACTAGTTTATATATGTACCAGGGTTCAGGAGTCCGTAGTTTTATTATTGGTTCAATGTTCTTCATACGGACATTTAACACAACAGTGCTACTGATTCTTGTTATTGTCTATAAGATGTCTTGGACTACTAACAAGCGCCAAGATATGCTGGAGAGCACCAAGGCAAGCCCAAATTAGACCCATGGGATTGTAAAAGTTGTTCAGACAAGTTTAAAACTCCAAGGCTCGTCCAGGATATGGGCTTAATCTATTTGTTAAGGCTAGCTCAATTTTTGTCAAGGTCGCAGCGATATAAAGGCTGTTGGCGTGAAGGTTAGGGTTAGGATAAGCATTGGAATTAGGACCAGGGTTAGTGTTGGGATTAGCGCTAGCCCTGTTTACATCTCGTGACCTAACCTATGACAAAAAATTGAGCTAGCCTTATCATTTAGCATTAACCCAGGATATGTTTCTGATTCCTTGACATTTTTATAAGAGGGGCTGCCAGAAGAACCCATGCATGCACTGTAGTCTAGTTGACATCATTAGTTATCTATATACATGTATACTAATGTAGATATTATCTCTTTCAGGGAAAAATATTTTTATTTGTTTTAAGCTCTTAGTGTAATATTTGGTGCAACTTAATTATGTGTATATTTTTGCCATGTATGTAGTAGCACAGATCATCGTAAGGAATTCTCATAGATTTCATATGTATATCCCTCCATTAAATTATTTGTAAAGCCATTTTAAAATGCAGTAACCCCACTGATCTAAACATCTGCCTAAATGATCTAAACTTTTTTAAAAATATTACTGTTATTTATGACTTTACATAATATATTTAAAAACATACGAAAAAGAGCTTTGAATAATTTTTAATATACAAACAAAATGAAGAACAAAACTAACATTAACATTAATGAATTTACAATTTGAATGAATTTGTTAGCAAGCTCTTTTTAAATAAATATATAATATTAAAATCAATAAAAAGCTTGTTAACAAAATATTTTACAATGTTACACGAGGTGATTATCGACCTAATATGTTATATGTAAACTCTATCTCTAATTTACAGACAAATATTAAATTATTATTGATTATTTATCGATGGCTAACAGTCTATATCTCTAATCTGTAGGATTATGTAGAATCTTAATCATTGTCATTGCTATATTTAGTTTATAACGAAATACATTATATAGAACTTGCCCTATCAATGATCAGAATAATACGTCAGATAAACCCAGTAAAACTCTTTATTTTGACTAGGTTAAGGCTAGGTTCCCCACTGTCATGCGATGCGTTACGATAGGATTGTCTCTATTGAGTCCATGATCTGCTACGTGCAGATACGTTTTGATACGGTCAACACGATTGCTACGACTGACCTCATTATATGACCTGATAGGATCACCACGATTAAAACCACGATTCCAATCCTAGCACGAATTGTGATAGTGGGACGAACCTAGCTTTAGATATGCTGATCTTTAAATGTATATCTCTAATCCAAAGTTGTAATTGTAATATTTGATTAGAATGAATTATAATTTATCAGTTAACTAACCAATATCAGCTTAATCCATCACCTACAATTTATAATTATATAGAAATTGGTCCATTATTAATCAAACAGTTTATTTTTAATTAAATTAAATTTCCTGCTCTTTTTAATCCAAAAGAATATTCAGTGCTTGTTAAACCCCCATCTCTCTCCAAAATTAAGTCTGCTTTATTAATTAAACCGTGTGTCTCTCTCCAAAATTAAATCTAAGATGTGCTGCTTTCTATACGCCCACATCAAAATGTTTTTTTTCTCAAATCCACAAGAATATGTAGTATTTAAATCATAATAAATACACTTGTAATTTACTGAGTATTTTGTGGAGATTGTAATTTATTGTAAATATTGTATTTGTAGATGTAAGTATTCTGTTATGGAAGATATTTTAGTGTTATACAATTTGCCATTTTCTTGTGTACATGTGAGTTATTATGACAGTGAGTGTTGTCCATCCAAATAATAAAAAAACTGTGTAAATAAAATCATAAAATGACACATTTTTAGTTGGTTGTCTATTTCTCTTCATGCTGTGTCGAGAGCTATGAGTGAAGGGTGATAACTCGGGTTGGAATCCATTTGCAGGGGCGGATCCAGAGGGGGGGGTTTGGAGGTGTTGAATTTCTCTGTTTAAAAAGCTCAATGTGTATGTATATATATACGCCAAAATGTCGATAGAGACTATGTGGGAGAGGGGGGGGGGAGATACATTGTCTCAGGAACCTGGAAAACCCCCTCCTGCAAAAATTCCTGGATCCGCCCTTGATTTGAGAGTTTTATGGACCGTCGTGGTCGAGGAAACTGACCTCGCGACGTGGAAGAAACGTTGAGATTCTTTAAGTCATTTGGATAGGACAAATAAATGAATCGTACCTGCGTGATTCGATTTATGATGAATTATACAACTCGGGTTGGAATCCATGTGAGGGTTTTAGGGACCGTGGTAGGTTGTGCAGTAGGAAACTGGCCTTGCGACGACGTGGAAGAAACTTTGAGATTCTTTAAGCCATTTTGATGGGACAAATAAACGAATCGTACCTGCGCACACATTGGTGTGTACGTACATAAGGAGTCCATGACTGTCCAGGCCCAATTGCCTAATTTATCAGATGAAGCCAACAAAATAAGATATGGCTGTGTATATAATTAATGTGCAGGCTAAGATAAGAGGTTTATTGCATCAAAACATCCATTAAGGACAGCATGCATATATATATATATATATATATATATATATAGCCTACACTTAGACATAAGAACCCTTGACAAAATGGGGTGGGGCTGGATGGCCGAATGGTTAGAGCGTGCGCGTTATATCATAAGGTCTGTCATTGAGTCAACTGGCGTGGTTTCAATTCCAGTTTCCTCAAACTGCTAAAGACCCCTACGCGCAAGTGAATTATTGAAATAAAATTGAACCATATGTTAGTCCCAAAATGAAGTAGTTTGTCTTGAGTGTTGCATGTGACCATAAGATTTAACAGTATGTTAGTCTCGAAACAACTGTTGACTTGACCTTCACCTTCGTCTATCTGTTAAGTCTTTGATTTGCAAAGAGATTTATTTCTAAATGTGATAAGCACAATCTGTAGCCCTACCTTCCAAATTCATTTCTATACACATTACTTATGTGAACCAGTACATGTTTTTATTTTAAAAAGAACAAATTAATCCTACTGAGTGTACCCTAGCTATATTCTGTTGTTTTGTTTTTTTTATTGGGTTGATTATTGAAAATCGTTAAAAATTCATAGGATTAATTTGTAGCTTCTATATGTAGGCATATAAAAAGTTGAATGTGACGTCATAAGATTTTTAAACGATTGAGACATTTGTCATGTTGACCTTAGGTCATTATGTTCTAAAAGGTGATAAGAAAGTCAAACTGTCCATATTTGGGGATAAAAGATTTAAAGATGCAACCTCATGGGGAATAAAATAGATGAATATATAACATCACAATCAGTATACATATTTGCTGTCTGAATCTCCCTGGGTCCCAGCTTGCCTCCATCTATAAAGGCCACAACCATAAACAGCCGGGGGCAGTGGGGGTGGGGTCTGCGCCCAACCCGTAATTTTTTTTTTAAATTCACCATTTAAATGATGTAAAAAAATGCAACTACAGGGAAAAAATGCTCTCTTTGACCCCCTGGCATGTGAGTTGTCAACCACACAGTCCATCCCTACCCATCTCTGAGCCCCTCTAAAAGGTTCACTGCCACTCCGCAGCCAGCAAGCCGATGGGCTGACAATGTGCATCCATTCATTCAGATGTGAAAATTTAGTGAGAGTGTAGAAAATTATTTGCAGTTATCAATAAAGAGTTATTGACTCCGACGTACTGTGGCCACTGTCCCTTTTTCAATTAAAGTGCTATATTAATTTTTTTGGGTGAATGTATTGTCTCTTTAAACATCTGCTCCACTAACCGAGATTTCTTGACACACCTCCAAATTAAGACTTATCTCCCTTAGGTGACACGATAATAATTTTTTTTTTTATATATTTTATAATTATCGCTTTGTAATGACTTGTCATCGCTATGTTAGGAAAGTTTTCAATTCTTTATACATAAATTAAACAGTTATGGGCGCTTACTTCACCAGTCCTTTATTGAAAGAAAAGTTTTCTGTATTATTTATTTATTTGCCGACGGCTTGATATTCAAGACTACGGTTTATAAACCAAGTCAACCCTCTGCAATTTTCTTTTTCTGTTATTTCATCATACGCACAACATCATGGAATTAAACGGATTTAAACCCTTTCCTAATTTCGCCACTGACGCGCTTCATGCCGGTCAGGAACCTGAACAATGGAAATCTATGGCAGTTGTTCCACCAATATCAATGTCCTCGACTTTCAAACAGTTTGCACCAGCTGAACATGCGGTAATATTAATAATAATAATATTGTTTTTATTGTGTCTGTGTGAGGTCAGTAGGTCTACATGTATCTTATCTCGGGTGATTTTTAAATTAAAATTTAAAATGGCTATATTATTATATATCTCAGTGGTGTCTTTGGAAGATGTGTCTAAAATTTGTGCTTATCTATAGGCCTACAATCTAATTCATGAAATATATTTCCCATGCCATAATATTGAAGATGACAATATAGATAAGAACAAAGATTTTTAATATCTGTTCAAGAATTTCACTCTACCTCACATTCAAGCCTGGAAATAAGGCACCTGTCACAGACAATGTCAGGCACAGATTCAGATTTTTTCAGGCACAAAACCTATGACGTGCCTGTCATTTTGTCCGGCACTGATTTGTCTTTTTTATTAATATTATTAATACATGTCCGGCACTAAGCTGAAAATGTCAGGTACTATTTTATTAGTGCCTGACATTTTGTCAGGTACATCTAACCCCGTTATTTCCAGGCCTGCTCACATTCGAGATTAATGTGGGTGGGTTCTATCCAAAATCTAGGCCTACTTGATATTGCAACATGTTATTCAATTCTGCCGAGTCACTTTCTATTTCTTAAAGCGAAAACATGTAATGTATCATAATTTCATTCATATACATTCAACAAACTCTATTATATTCATGGTAAGCTTATTATAGTTTGTCATTTGGTACACGGGTCAATTAGGAGAATTCTGCTAGAATCTTTATAATCTCTGCAAAGTCCATCTTAGTGCATCACTAAGTCCTATAGTAAGCTATAATATTAATAAAAGATCTCCAAATTATGAAATTCCCCTGGATTGGTTTCTGATACTTGAGCTTTTGAGGAAGTGTGTCTATTCTTCCCGTTCAATCAAATCTATCTCAAGTACAGCAACATGACAGCCCTTCATTTAATCTGGGGTCTTCCCTAAAACTTTGGACAGTGATTTAAGGTATTAAAAACGGTGAAAGTATTCTTCATCTCCATACAGTATTGTTTACATTGTATTCGTGTTGATAGCCTCGTTTCTCACGCAATTAGTTTTTCTGCAATATTCGGCTATGCACTGATTAATTGGGCATAATAAAATCGCGAGTCAATGTCATGACGTAATGTTATGTAAACATATTTGGTCCCATTTGGAGCTTTGTTTAAAATGTAACGATATTGTTACGCTGTTAGCTATTGGTTGTTAACTGAACTATTAACCAGTCATGATTTGGAACAAAAATTTGGTTCCATTAAAGCAGTGTTTAGTGGGATTAGCTCTAAATCAAACGAAACACTGCGAGGAGTATGACACATTCCCACTCTTAGGTTTATTTGCAAATATTGTCAATAAATTAAATAAAGGGTTGTTTTATCAAAATTGATACAGACATTCAAAATTACGGTCTACTATTCCTGCGCAACTCATATCAGGTTAGTACTTTGATTGGCTATTGTACACGACCCCCCGCCTTCATGACGTCAAATATGTCAAATTTAAAACATCAGAGAGCCAGGCTATTATCACTTCGAGATTTAAAAAGACATGATTTGTGCCAGGGCCTGTCCAACCTCTTGGGTTTTCTCTGGGCCCTCCTGTTTCATCCCATAGCTAAAGACCCCTATGCGCAAGGGAATTATGAAAATAAAATTGAACCATATGTTAGTCCCGAAATCACCTAGTTTGTGACGAGTGGACGTTAAACCCCATTTCTCTCTCTCTCTCTACCTGTGCCAGGTATATGCTTGATAGTAGTTGAATGAGGCAGAAATAACAATAAGGAATAATGATAATCAATCGTTGTTTTGATGAAAAAATTGTCAGGTTTGCGAATAGAAATCCTGATGTGATCTGCGCCAGGGTTTGCCAGATGGATCTATATAATACCATCTCTTATCTCGAAACACAGTTGGTTGAGAGATGAGGTTTCTTATCTATATAGAATTCATTTGTTCCATTCAGTTCAATGAATATTATAATGTGAACCAAGTGGCCTTATAGCTAATCATATTGATTTTCAGTAGGCATATATCATTACTTACGGTCAATTTCATTGGTGATGATGAATAATTTAAATATTATTAAAACATTAATTTAAAAAATTGTTCAACACAGACACAGTTTGCATTGTGTTTTGTGTAGGCCCTACATGGTGTAAATAAGTAGCTGATTATTCGAGAATTATAGATCTATGTAAATTAACAAGCACCTGCTGTTTTGATCAGATAAAAGTATATTAAGTATAAATTGTTTCAATGGAATTTATTAGTTGAACTGGAATATACAGGTCACAATTCTATGGAATACAATCCCTGCTTCACTAGTTATTATCAAGCAATTATAAAATATAACAAGACAATATAATATACATGTAAACAACAATATTTGGTTAATGCTGATCAACTAGGGACACACTTCTGATTACCTTGAAGGAAACCTAACTAAAATGAAATGGGGTTTAACATCCTGCTGTCCTGCTCCGACTGGGTTAATGTAGACAGGGATTTGGGCATGGACTGATATCTGTCAAGTATTTAAAGGACCATTATAAAATCTGTAGGTTCAAGGTTATTTCATAAACCTTAAATTAAAGAGACATTATGCCAAGGCTCTATTATGGATGAGGGGGTTGGATGGCCGAATGGTGTGCGCGTTTATCATTGAGTCGATTTCCCGATTGTATGTGTGACAAGGAGTAGGGTCATCTGTCCAACCTCGTGGGTTTTCTCTGGGTCCTCCGTTTTCCTCCCACTGCTAAAGACCCCTACGCGCAAACGAATTATTGAAATAAAATTGAACCATATGTTAGTCCTGAAATGATGTGTTGAGTGGACGTCAAACTCTTTCTCTCCGTCTCTCCATTCTGGATGGAGTTTTTACAGTTCCCATTTGATGTCAATTTCAAAGCCCTAACACAGAAATGATTGTAGTTTGGCTGACAAATAAATATCCAGATGACAGCGGACTCTTAAAAAGCTTCACGCTATTCTTTCTCAATATCTCAACAGAATGTTTTATATTATTTTAATTTTCTATGAATTAAATGCAGTAGGTTGGTTCGACAATAGTGATATTAAAGACAAAAGGGAAAGTAGGAAGTTTGTTGTGTTATTATTGCCTTTTTCTAGCCTTCAATCAATTTTTTTTGCTATTTCAGGGATTTGAATATTCAAGAAGTGGAAATCCAACTAGAAATTGTCTAGAGAAATGTCTAGCGGCTATGGAAGGGGGAAAACATGGTATTTGCAAGTTTTTAGTATTTTTGGTAATTATTTATGGTAACCTTGTTAGATTTTAATTCAGACAGGTATTTCCATTAAAGATACATTATTGGCAAGATAAAAAAAAACAACCCAAAGTCTTGATTATCCATTTATCGATTTAATTGTTTGTCAAAAAATGTATTCCAATCCACTAAATATCGCAGGCTAGCGATGGCATCAAGAGTTAAATATGATCTGGATAAGTTAATTAAAGATACATTATCGGAGATTAGATAAAGAGCTGGCAGTTTTCACTATAATAGTTAACAACTAGATAATTGATCCACTATGAACCAAGAATTTAGTCTAACCTCGATCATCATTACTAAAGTCGGTACATAGTCTCAATTATCCATTTCATAATTAAATCATAAATAAAAGTTGAGCAGCAAATCAGATCCTAATCCAGTAAATGACACGGAGAGTTTATTATGGTCTGGATAAGTTAATTAATGTCTAATTAATAATTTAGATAACATTTCAGGCCTAAAGAAAGACCTGAAATAGGCAGATTTAGCTCTTGCATAATGTATGATTAAGTCAACCCAATATTATCAATATTAACTTATAACTCTGTGTAAAATGACTGACCTTTATCAGTTCAAATGCCTTCTACGTATGTGACGTCAGATCACAAGGTGTTTATCATTGACTCGATGGTGCGTGCATTGTTTACATAACGAGAACTGGTCCGGGCAGAATGGTGTCTTTTACTCATCTAATATACCCATTTACACTAAATAGGAAAACAATTTTTTAACCAGATATATTTCAATGACTATCTGCTTGCACTAAATCTATCTGTTAAGGCCAGCTCAGTTTTTGTCAAGATCGCTGAGATGTAAATAAGGTTAGGGCACGTGATTGTTGGCCAGATTGTAGGTTAGGGTTCGGGTAAGCATTAGGACTAGGTCCAGGGTTAGGGTTTGGATTAGCGCTAGCTCTGTTTACAATTCGTCACCTTTAACCAAACTTGAAGTTGCCCTTATCAAATAGAACTAACCATCTGCTTGTGGTCCTGTTAATGAATTGGGACCAGGACCCTGTGAATAATGATATGTGTTATAAATATGTTTGTTTTTTTACAGGCATGTGTTTTTCATCAGGATTGGCTACAACAATGACTGTGACACATTTATTGAGCTCTGGAGATCATATTATCAGTATGGATGATGTTTATGGTGGTAGGTATATTAACCATTTATTCTTGGATATTCTAGTCAAGTAATTTCTCCAGTGGCTTAATTTCCGTGGGGGGGGGGGGGGGGGTTTGAATGGCCGAATGGTTAGCGTGTGCACAATGTATCATAAGGTCTTGTCATTGAGTCAACTGGCGAGGTTTCGATTCACCGGTTGTACGCGACAAGGAGTAGGGTCGCCTGTCCAACCTCATAGGTTTTCTCCAGGTCCTCTGGTTTCCTCCCACAGCTAAAGACCCCTATGCGCAAGCGACTTATTGAAATAAAATTGAACCATATGTTAGTTGTGTCGAGTGGATGTTAAACCCCATCTCTCTCTTATATCGAATTCCAACTGCCCAGGGATCTTTTATGTACATGCCAATGTATACACGGGACCTCAGTTTTTCGTCCAATCCAAACAACTAGACAATTGTCCTTGTTAGGCCCTCCTTTCTGCACCACTAACAAGGGGAAACCACTTTGGAAGATTGCGATGAACTCTGTTAGTCAAGAGTAGAGCTGGGTGATATACCTGGACACAAATATCTCGATATTATCATGGACTGCCAAAAGATACTGATAATCATTTTACCAATTCTTTCAATGCAGTTGGCGTTATTTATATTTCTGCTTTATTAACATTTATTTTAATCAGAAAATCAGTGATTCCTTTGAAAAATCAGTATTTTTGACAGTTTTTATTTTTTTTAGGGTTTTATATCTAAATATCGCTCAGCTCCAGTCAAAAATGAGAAAATATAACCAAAACAAGAGTTCGGTAGCTTACATAAACCGGGCTTTACATTAGCACTACACACAAAACAAAAATCTACAAGATAAACCTGCAGACAAGACAGAAAATAGACATTGCACCAAATAAACAAATATCAAATCAAGTGAATAGATCAGGGGGCTAGCCGTACAGTCCCGGGCATGTTATGGTACAGGCTTCACTTAAAATGAAAAAAAACCAAACTGATTTACAAAAAATAAAAAAGACGTAACAGAAATAATGCGACCAATCTTGACAGTGGTCGTCTCTTCAATAGCGATAGTCTGCCAGTTGACGTCATGAGTTAAAACGTCTTTGACGAGTATAAAGATAATTTTTGATTTCTTACTGTACAGTTACATTGGGGATGTGCATATTAAAATTGTATCCAGAATTTGATAAGAGAGTGAGAGAAATGGGGTTTAACATCCACTCGACATAAACTAGGTCATTTTGGGACTAACATATGGTTCAATTTTATTTCAATAAATCACTTGCGCGTTGGGGTCTTTAGCAGTTGGAGGAAACCGGAGGACCCTGAGAAAACCCATGAGGTAAATTGTGATAATAAGTCGATTCTAAATTGAATGCATTATCTAAAGATAATTTTATTCCCTAGTGGAGAGTGATTGTGCATCTTTAGTATTTAAATTAGATTTTATCTATGGTTATATTGAGTTTGTTCGTGCTTTGAAAGGAGAACTTCAATTATTTATTTTTTAGTGTTTACAGTGTACTTGGATAGATACTTCAGAATGTTTTCTGACCGTTCATGCCCTAGTTCATACTCTATTTTTATATCATGAATGAGAATGTCATTTTACATAAATAAATCGTATCACTCAGTCAACAAACTGTTACATTCGGGGTGTAATACTCACAATATGAAATCTGTTCAAATAACGTTCAAGCTAAACAAATTTGATTTTAAATTAATATTTTGGTACTCACAGCCCAATAAATATTTTATGAATGGCCTTTTTATTACAAATGAAAAAGAACATATTTTAATACTGGTGGAGTTTGTCAACCAAATTTGTTCATGTCACAACAGACTTGTTTTTAAAAATATTAGATAAAAATATTTCTCTTGTAAGTTTTCATATTCTCTCTCTAAGTAAAATCTTCCATGCACACATTCTCGTAATCGATGGAAAATTTAGTCCCTTTGTGTTTTGTTTTAGCTTAAATTATTTCAATGGCATTTACATGATGTAATTTTAGGGAATTATGGAATGGGGGGGGGGGAGGAATGGTTAATGTGCGCTGTATCATAAGGTCTGTCATTAAGTCAACTGGCATGGTTTCGATCCCTGGTTGTACGTGACAAGGAGTAGGGTCACCTGGTCGCCTGTCCAACCACGTGGTTTTTCTTCGGGTCCTCCGGTTTCCTCCCACTGCTAAAGACACCTACGCGCAATGAAATCCTAATTATGTACTATAGTGTATGTGTTTGTTTATCTGAGCAAATTAGGATTTCATTGATTTCCTGTCATTCAGATGGATTGAAAAACTGACGTCCTGTGTACACATTGGCGTGTACGAAACAGATCCCTTTAAGAGTAGGCTGTAGCACCGCTGTCCGGGCAAAATTTCCCCCATAACACACTGTATGGCGTAAGCCCATTTTCATTAGCCCAGTCGGAGAAGAACAGTAGGATTTTGAGTTCGATTTCATTTCATTGCATCTGGTAGAGAATTCCATTATTATTTTTATTTGTCTATTTCAGGTACAAACAGATATTTCAGTAAATGTGCTGCTAAATTTGGTTTAGATATATCCTTTATAGATTGTACAGTGATAGAAAATGTACAAAATGCTGTGAAAGATACAACTAAGGTATTATTACTTAATTTATTCGTATTCGTCTGTATGCCTCAAAACAGCTACAGTATATTAAAGTCAATCAAAATCCATTTTAACTACAGGTCACATGCGGGGGTTGGATAGCCTAATGGTTAATGTGTTCGCTTTGGATTAGAAGGTCTGTCATTGAGTCAACTGGCGTGGTTTCAATTCCCCGGTTGTACGTGACAAGGAGTAGGGTTGCCTGTTCAACTTAGTGGGTTTTATCTGGGTCTTCCGGTTTTCTCCCACTGCTAAAGATTTTATTTTGAAATAAAATTGAACCATGTGTTAGTCCTGAAATGACCTAGTTTTTGTCAAGTGAATGTTAAACCCCATTTCTCTCTATCTCTCTCTCTCTCTCTCTCTCTCTCTCTCTCTCTCACTTATAGTCAAATAATTTAAGTCCAATAAACAATCAGCAAAATCGAACGCTGACAAAACATTAGCAAGAGGACTTGATAGATATAAACTGAAGATCAAAAGAAAATATTGCGAAATATTTTACTGAACAAAATCAAGGTGACCAGGTGTACAAGGGAATTATACTAGGCTATTGACGCAGTAAAACTATGGCCCAACTATAATGTTATAATTTTATGGCGTTTATTTTTACAGTTAGTATGGATAGAAACCCCGACTAATCCAACTATGAAATTAGTAGATATAGCAGCAGTTGTCAAAGTTGTTAAAGCCAAAAATAAAGATATTATTGTCGTTGTGGACAATACTTTTATGTCTTCATATTTTCAAGTAAGTCATCAAATTACTATTTTGTCAGGATTATATAAATAAAGCAAGGAATAGTTGTATATGAATTGAATAATCTGTGTAATAACATAGACTGGGGCTGGCTGATAATATTGATAATGTTGATAATCGTTGGTAAAGCATTTTGTAGATTGATAATCAATACAGATTTAAAATATTGATAATCGTGCAATTATAGATAGCAACTTGTAAGAAGAAATCAATTAGATAATCCATATCTTTGCAACGTGTGCTTGGGTTAGCTCGGTAACGGTAATTAAACACAACGTTTTGTTTTTTCACGTGAGACGCCAGCGTCACAGAGTAAAAATGTCAACGTTTAGAATTGTCGGCTGCTTATAATGAGAGAGAATAGTTCCTCATGACGTAATGTATTGTCGAATATTAAAATTATATAAATGTCATAGTGTCCAAGAGTCAAAAACATGAATTAAGCCTTTATACAAGGCGTTCTGTTACCGTTTCAAAGGGAAATAACTACATTTTACTCATTGAAATAAATTCAACATGTATATGGTACATAATGATATTTCAGCATACACTCACATATAATTCATAGTTCATATACAAATTATGAATGTTTTCAAAACAAATTGTAAGTAAAATAATTCGGCGATATTATCGATTATTGAATGGCGGATGGTCGATGATTATCGATACATGAACCCAGGATCGATTGCCAGCCCTAATATAGGCTAGTGATATATGTAATAATATAGACGGATGATCTATGTAATAATATAGTATGTTATACTACGTGACCCGCTCCCACAAAACCAGGTGCTTGTCGCACAACTTTGTACTACGGGCACATAGTCTGTATGCCTTTATGTTGCTGTGAATGAGCCAAACTCAACTCCAGATGATACAACAAATTTAAGAAGAATTGCATTTTTAGAAAGCTTAGGCTGTCGACTATTCAAATATGCTGCCAGCTCTATTTTTATAAAAAATGACCAAGTGTCTGGTTTTGTGGGAGCAGCTCACATATGTAAAATAGACCATGTAATACTGTGGACTGTCATATAGACTATGTAATACTGTGGACTATGATATATAGACGGTGTAATAATATGGACTATGTAATATAGACTATGTAATATGGACTGTGTAATACTATAGACTGTGTAATACTATGGACTATGTAATATAGACTATGTAATACTATAGATTGTGTAATAATATAGACTAATTGTATAATTTTAGAGACCTTTATCTCTTGGTGCTGATGCTGTAATGCATTCTTTAACTAAATATATGAATGGTAAGTTCTTCATACTAATATTAAGTACATTGTGTGTAATGTTGTTAATAACTATTATTGTCTATTGTTCAATAGATCTCCGTGGAAACAAGTGTTTGGTTTAATGGACACTGCAATCAACACAGATATTGGGTCTTTTTGAGATTGACATAACTATTGCTTGTGTTTTCAGCTGTGGGAGAAAACCTTGTTTTGCATTGAAGTTATATGCTTTTAGGGCGTTTGGATGGCTGAATGGTTAGCGCATGTGCATTGTATCATAAGGTCTGTCATTGAACCAACTGGCGTCATTTCGATTAACCGGTTGTACATGACAAGGAGTAGGGTCACCTGTCCAATCTCATGCGTTTTCTCTGGGTTCTCAAGTTTCCTCCCACTGCTAAAGACCCCTACGCAAGTGAAGTATGGAAATAAAATTGAACCATAGTTTATGTCGAGTGGACGTTAAACCCCATTTCTCTCTCTCTATATATATATATATATATATATGCTTTGATGCTATATGCAAAAGTACCAATCTCAGCAAAAGTAATGATTAGAATCATTTAATTTTGAAACGGGACAAATTGTTGATCATCCTTCCATGCTATCTATAGTCATATTATTCAGGAAATCATATATCAGTTGGTATATATAAGTTTATATGTTTTTATTACAGGTCATAGTGATGTTGTTATGGGTTGTTTAGTTGTTAATTGTGATGATTTAGCTGATAAACTCCGGTTTTATCAAAATGGTAAGATCCAAGTTGATTATGTATACTATATTAAAAACAAAACTGATTGATATATATATTCTTCTATCAGAGCACAAAGTTCTAGACAGTTTCCAGTCGGCGAGTTTTTGGCGTGAGGTGCATGGAACTGTGGGTAACCCACTAGAAACATCAACGCTGATTGGTTAATCAAATATCTGACGTCAAAGGGGTCAAAAGCCACTTGTATGACCCACTACAACTGGTCAGATGTTCATGTAGTATAGTCCAATGAAAGTATAAAATAACAAAACGAAATATAGATCTATATTTTAATCAGATTGAAATTATTCTAATGGTTGAGTTTGCAGTACGGAGAAAAAAGATATTTTTTAACTTGACTTGAAGCAGCAGATCATGTGAATAAGTGACTAGTTTGAGGTGTCAACCATTGTGGAAAATTCTACTGAATATATAATTATATAATTCCTTGCCCCCTGCGATCCAGTATATGAACATGAATTACGACAGTACAGTACAGTATCTTTATCGTGAGATAACTAGTATTTCTATTCACGGGAATCCAGTCTACTTGGACACACACACATGCAAGGGGATTCGATGCCACTGAAGCCTTCCCTTCTCTCAAAGTCCTCACAAAACAGTTTGAAAAACTGAAATATAGGACAAAGCTGATTAATTGATTTATCTTTCAGCACTTGGTCCAGTTCCGTCACCTTTTGATTGTTTCCTAGTTAATCGTGGTTTAAAGACTTTACATGTTAGAATGAAGGAACACATGGTTAATGGTTTAGCTGTTGCTAAATTTCTCGAGGCTAATTCAAGAGTGGAAAGAGTCATACATCCAGGTAAAAACCTGACATTTTGACGCAATTTATTCTCTGTCGGAAAAAGTTTCAAGAGAATGCTTTAATAATTAGAGCTTATCTATGTTTTTGACTTTTGATATTCAAGACCTGTGTTTGAATTGTTAACAAATGACAAATTCGATAAGTTTGTTGCAAAATGACTAAAAGTTTTGTTAAAACAGAAAGTAATTAATTTCTCCATATATATACACCTCTAACAGAAATTATAGAGATATCTTAAAGAGACATTATGGAAGATTAGATAAAGAGCTGGCAGTTCTCACTACAATAGTTAAAAACTAGATTATGAAAACAGAATATCTGAAAATTTCAGTCTTAATTATTGCTCCACTCTAAACCGAGATATTAGTCTTTGAATTTTTTAGGCCTAGCCTCTATCATCATTACTAAATGCGGTACGATAAAAAGCATAGTTTCGATTATCCATTTTTGGTTTTAATCATCAATGGCATCGAGAGTTGATTATGTTCTGGATAAGTTAATTAATGTCTAATTAATAGTTTATATAATATTTGAGGCCTAAAGAAAGACCTGCAATAGGCCGATTTACCTCTTGTATAATGTATGTTTATATAATATTATTGTTTATTTATATTATAGGTTTAGAAAGTCATCCTCAGTATGAAATTGGTAAAAAACAGATGATAGGATATAGTGGAATGGTGACGTTCTTTATTAAAGGGGGAGCTAAAGAAGCTGGGGATTTCCTTAAAGCAGTAAAGGTTTGTAAAACAATTACTGTGATAAATATGTGTAGAATAAAGCACAAGACTGAGGTTATGCTGGGGAAAGAAAGACTGAAGAAAATAACCTGAGAAAAAGAAAAACCTAGGCCTGTCAAGTGTTTTTTCTGAAGTCTTCCGTAGCATAACAGAAGTCGAGGACTTTATCTTGCTTATAAACCGTTTATGTTTACATGTACGCAAGATGAGAATATCCCAGAATTCCCGTAAGAAAAACCTTATATCATGTTTTCTTATGGAAAAAATTGTCCTGGAAGAATAACCTGTTACAGGTATAAAAAAAAACTTTCAGAAGAATAACCCCAAATTTCCCTGTATATATCCAAAACCTCCCCCGACTTTCAGACCGCAAGTTATTCCGGGCATAGAATATACCCCAAAGATCAAAGAGATTTACCAATACAGGTTTATAATATCATAGAAAACACCATTTTAAACTATACAGTATTTAACATTGGTTAGAGGGTTTAACCTCCATTCGACACAAACCACGTCATTTTGGGACTAACATGTGGTTCAGTTTTATTTCAATAATTCGCTTGAGTGTAGGGGACTTTAACAATGGTAGGAAATAATATATTGTGTATTATTAGAGGTGTAAAGTGTGTGTGATATAAAGTATATTAGAGAGTCTTATGTGTATTAGAGGTATAAAGTACATGTATATTAGATAGTCTATGTGTATTAGAGGTGTAAAGTGTATTGTGTATTAGAGGTGTATGGTATAAAGTACATTAGATAGTCTATGTGTATTAGAGGTATAAAGTATATAACAGTCTATGTGCATTAGAGAGTATATGTGTATTAGAGGTATAGGGTATATTAGAGAGTCTATGTGTATTAGAGGTATGGGGTATATTAGAGAGTCTATGTGTATTAGAGGTATAGGGTATATTATAGAGTCTATGTGTATTAGAGATATAGGGTATATTATAGAGTCTATGTGTATTAGAGGTATAGGGTATATTATAGAGTCTATGTGTATTAGAGGTATAGGGTATATTAGAGAGTCTATGTGTATTAGAGGTATAGGGTATATTATAGAGTCTATGTGTATTAGAGGTATAAAGTATATTATAGAGTCTATGTGTATTAGAGGTATAAAGTATATTAGATAGCCTGTGTGTATTAGAGGTGTAAAGTATATTGTGTATTATAGAGGTGTAAAGTTTATTATGTATTATAGTATAGAGATGTGTGATATAAAGTATATTAGAGAGACTATGTGTATGTGTGTATTAGAGGTGTATGTGTGTATTAGAGGTGTAAAGTGTATTGTGTATAATAGTATAGAAGTGTATGGTATAAAGAATATAAGAGATTCTATGTGTATTAGAGGTGTAAAGTATATTGTAGTATAGAAGTGTGTGATTGTCTGCACTATCACCTTGGTGGAAGCGGACGTAAAATACAACTAACTCACACAGAAGTATGTGATATTAATTATACTAAGTGTTATTATATAGATGTTGAACTGATCCTTAAAAAGAAATAATATATCAAGATATAAACATAAATTTTATTTCATTATAGATCTTTACATTGGCAGAAAGTTTGGGAGGATTTGAAAGTTTGTGTGAATTACCGTAAGTAGAATACATGTAATGCCATTAAATAAACACACAGGAAAACTTCACACTTGTAATGCTATTAAATAAACATGGAAGAAAGATTCACAGATGTAATCTGTTAATAAACATTTAGGAAAGCATCACAGATGTAAGAGCTAAATCTTCCTATTGCAGGTTGTTCTTCTGCCTGAAATGTTATCTAAATTATTAATCAGACATTAATTAACTTATCCAGACCATAATTAACTCTCAATGCCATCGCTAGTGTGTGATATTTACTGGATTTGAATCCGATTTGCTGCTCAACACTCATTGATGAATTAATCCAAAAATGAATAATCGAGACTGTGTTTTTTTTATCATACAGACTTTAGTAATGATGCCCGAGGCCAGGCCTTAAATTCAAAAGTTAATATCTCTGTTCAGTGTGGATCAATTTGACTGAAATTTTCAGCAAATTCCCTTTACATTATCTAGTTTTTAACTATTATAGTGAAAACTGTTAGCTCTTTATCTAATCTCCCATAATATATCATTAATATAAATTATTTATTTAATTTTATCAAGGTCCGTCCAAACTCATGCCTCTGTGCCAGCTGATCAGCGTGTTAAACTAGGGATTACAGATAATCTCATCCGTCTATCTGTGGGTATAGAAGATTTAAATGATCTGATTGCGGACATTGATCAAGCCTTGAAGATAGCTGTAAGTATAAATTACTGAAATAAAATAGGGTTTAACGTCCTACTGTTCTGCTCCAACTGTGCTAATGAAGACAGGCATACACCATAAAGTGTGCTATGACTGAAATTTTTGTCCGGGCAGTGGCGCTACTGCCTACTCTTATATTGAATTCCAACTGTCAAGGGATCTTTTATGTGCATGCAGATGTTTTTTGTTCCATCCGAATGACTATACATTGTCCCTTGCCAGGCTGTTGTTGATATTTATCTTTTTTTTATCTTACCACACCTGCAGGGGTTGTTCCTGTGGGAGTGAACCGAAGTACCCGAGGTTGAAAAGAGACCATATCTCCAAACCACATACTCTCACCCTAAGAATCGAAACCACAACCGCAAGCCAGAGGTGGGGGGGTTGGATGGCTGAATGGTTATCACGTGCGTTGTATCATAAGGCCTGTCATTGAGTCAACTGGCGTGGTTTCTAATCCCCGGTTTTACGTGACAAGGAGTAGGGTCGCCTGTCCAACCTCGTGGGTTTTCTCCAGGTCCTCCGGTTTGGTCCCACTGCTAAAGACCCCTATGCGCAAGCAAATTATTGAAATAAAATTAAACCATATGTTAGTCCCGAAATGACCTAGTTTGTGTTGAGTGGACGTTAAACCCATCTTTCTCTCTCTCTCTCTCTCCCAGGTGGAGCTCGGAGCGCGACACTCTAGACTATCCCACCCCACCCCCACACAACAAACTGTAGGGTGTCATCTTTATAAACCCTGGCTGTTAACCATTGAATTAACCATGAAATGGCCACAAATTAATTGTGTTTTTCTGTTTTTATTACAGATCCCTTAAGAAGACAAGTTATTATAAACTATGAGGAAGTTGGTGGATCAGTTTATTAAATTGTCTATTACATTGTGTGATTTATTCAGTTAATCTATTCTAATATCAACAAACCCAGTCATATAATTAACTCAAATCATGTCAAATTAAAAGAAAAATTATTATGGATCAGAGAATACCTATGTTATTTCACTGCTAATTCTGCAATATAACAACAACGAACGGATTTTAGAATCTCTCCTGCAATTCTTTCTAAAGACTAGGACAGATGAGCGTATTTTTTCGTCCGGTCACACTGATTTTTAAAATCGCAGGAAAAATAGACTGTGTCCCTGCCCTCTCATGGCGACAATGATTCTGCTCGGCAAACCATTCGCTCGATCAATCATTTGATCTAGAATGTTAGATATTTTCAAATGATCGTTGTACTTTACTCACAGAGTGGCGTACGCTCTCGAGACAATTGCTATGTGTGCTCGTTCGTAATAGGCCATAATAATTCGATGGCTAATTTCAATCGGTGTGATCAGTCGAAAAAAAACGCTCTTCTGCCCTTAACATAATAACTATATCTTATCTGAACTCAACCTTTATTCACTGCACATGCTATCAGATTCTAGCCTCAATCTAGATCAGTGATTCTCATCCAGTGTGCCGCAGCACACAGGTGTGCCACAGCACACAGGTGTGCCACAAGATCTTCCTAAGTGTGCCGCGAAGTTTTGAATGGCACACCAAGAAAATTTCTCTCTAAAAAAGCGGTTGTATTCCGTCTGACTAACGATGTTTTTATTTTGTAAAATTCAAATATTTTTCATGTTTATTATATAGCCAAGTGTACTTCTTTTTTTTCATGTGTTCCAAGGTGTGCTGTAGCAAAAAAGGTTGAAAACTACTGATCTAGATTTTAAAAAGAATTATTTCTCTTCTTTTTTTACCGATTTCAAAATTATGTTTTCTTTTTTGATTAGAACAGATAAAATCTACAGTATTTTCAGTAATTTAGGAATTTGAATTGATTTTAAAATTCAGGTATTTGTTATAGTGGGATCTATTTTTCTTCTCATACGTAGAACTATATTCGCTCAGAATCTCTGCTATTATGGTGGATTAAATTAATATCTTGTCAGTTGTCGATAGGGACTTTGGGATTCCACAATTTTATAACTTACAGAAAATATATAAATTCTTTGGAAACTTATATTAGTATGTCTTGATTTGTTCTGTTACTAAATGTTGCTTAGAGTCTCTTTGCTGCCATTTTTTGTGGGTGAACAGAAATGATAGGCCTATTTAATTCGAGAGGTTATCTAGCCTTGGTATTTTGATTCTGTTCAATAATAGATCTAGATTACCTTGTGAGAAAATTCATATTTTAGGGGAAAATGCAAATGGCATATCAAATCAAACTCATAATGGTAGATTCATTATCCTCAGGTACGTTATAGTTTAATTTTATTACACAAGATCTGAAATAACAGTTAGCATATATACAGGGCACTTGTTTCAGTAATATTGACCAGTCTTGACCAGAGCTGGGAAATCGAACCCGCTCCTCAGTCTTGAGCCCGACTTAAGTTGCATCAATGACCCGACTTGCGACCCGAGAGCTTTCTAATTGAGTCGCAGCAATGGGGCATAACCCTAACTTATCTTATTTGCGAGGAATTGCTGCTTGAACAAGACTCAGGTTTTGTGAAGATTTAATTCAACTCGGTACTAACGCCAACGACTTGGCACTCGACTTGACGTGCGGTGACTTGGAACTTGGGAGTCAAGGTCATGCAACTTGTTCCCACTTCTGGTCTTGGATCAACTGGCAGTAAAATCAACCAGCTGAAGAACTTCTATCAAACAATTAGAATCTCAAAGAATTCAACCCCAAAAACACAATAATTACTGTTAAATTGATAGTGTTTATGTGTAAAAACTGCCAAAAATTGTCATTTTCTTTGGAAAAAAGGTTTTGCAAATCTGAGGCGAATTTTTAAAGTGGAAGCCCTTGATATATGTAACCTGTTTTTAGCCTGTCTTCTCATTTAAATATAAATATTTTGGAACGAATGTTCGTTATTCTTGTTTTCATTATTTTCTCAAATTGTGTTCATTAAATTATGATATAGATGTAAATTTATGGAAAAAAAGGGTTTTATTTTATGTAAGTGTTTTTTTTAAAAATTAATATGAATTTCTTATGTGATATATTATCACAATTATTTTGATATATTATCAAATACAACCATTAATGTTAGTGCTATATTGTATAATTCACAGAATAAAAATATCACCACAATGATCATGTATTTTCTTCCCAGTTTTATGGGAGCCACAGTGGCTAAGTAGGTAAGACACTGGCTCATTAGCCCGGAGGTCGATAAAGTTCATTGGGATTGTCCGGCGTCGTTTCCCCATGTCAGTGGTGCAGAACGAAGGGCCTGACAAGAACAGCTGTCTAGTCATACAGATGTCACAAAAACTGAGGACCTGTGTATACATTGGCTTGCCGTAAAAGATCCCCTGGCAGTTTAAATTCGATACAAGAGTAGGCTGTAGTGACGTTGTCTGGGCAAAATTTCCCTTATAACACACTGTATGGCGTATGCCTGTCTTCATTAACCCAGTTCGGAGCAAAACAGTAGGACGTTAATCCTGGTGATGGGATTTCGCCTGTATATTCCGAACATGTTCAACGCTATTTTCCAAACGTCGAAAATTGTCCGACCAGGAATAAGCCCAATCGGACATCCAGATATGGTGAATAATATTCAACTTCCAAAATTAATATAGTGTATAACTACCACTCAACCCGATTATCGTTGATAATAGGCTGGATTGATTAGGTAATTAAGTGATCAATGTATTGATCGTGTTATACCGTCTATACACCTACCTTGATTAACTACTGAATCTGCCATTATTGACTGACTTAAAATTTTATCGGACAATTCATCAATCCAATCTTAAACCCCATTTCATTTCATTTCCCAGTTTTATACAATATGAGGGCAAGAATTTAGGCTGGATAGGAGAGTATCTGACTACTCTTCATTGCATTCAAACTGCAATGGGGGGATCACGTGGCTAAATGGGTAAGACACTGGCTCGCTAGCCTGGAGGTCGGGTGTTCGATCCCTGCATTGGCCGAGAAAGTTCATCCAGATTTTCCAGCGTGGTACCCCCTCGTCAGGGATGCAGGACGGAGGGCCTAACAAGCACAGCTGTCTAGTCCTTCGGATGAGACGAAAAACCAAGGTCCCGTGTATACATTGGAATGCACATAAAAGATCCCTTGGCTGTTGGAATCCGATATAAGAGTAGGCGATAGTGCCGCTGCCCTGCCAAAATTTCCCTCATAGCACACTGTATGGCATATGCCCACTCTTCATTAGCCCAGCATAGGAGCAGAACAGTAGGACGTTAACCCCCATTTCATTTCAAACTGCAATGGGTTCTTTTTATATCAGGGGCTTGGGTGGCATAATGGTTAGATCAGTAGGTCTTGTCAATGAGTCAAGTGACGAGTTTTCGTGACAAAGAGTGGGGTTGGCAGTCTAACCTTGTGTATTTCCTCTCACTGCTAAAGAACCCTACGCACAAGCAAATTATTGAAATAAAATTGAACCATGTTAGTCCCGAAATGACCTGGTTTATGTCAAGTGGACATTAAACCTATCTCTCTCTCGTGTAATGATTTTTCTTCCTATCTGAACGAATAGATACTCTTTCTATTGTATTTGTTAGATATGCCTTAAAGCTTGTGATCAGAACTCTGGGTAAATGGTAACAATAGGGAGGATTGCCTATTACTTTATGGCCAATTAAGAGCGCTGGTTTCCATCCACTTTTCTTGTCCAATCTGATTAAACCATAGATCCTGTTTTGTTTTTTTTTTATAGTTCAAAATTTTGTTTTACTTGTCTTTACTACACTAGGATCTGGAAGAGTCGTTATATAACCTGTATTTTGGAATATGTGAGGGATTTCTCCGATATTAAATCGATTAGAACGGCTTTGCCATAGTTTGATTTAATTTAAAAATGAAGGAGCGAGACTTAGCTTCGAACAACCTGTATGGTGGTTAAATTATTGTCAAACCTTCATTTTACATTATCTTGTGTCGAACTATAAAAGCAAGAATGGCTAGCTCTTTATCTAAATCTTACATAATGTATCTTTAACTTAGAGAAAAAAAAAACCCCAACAAACAAATTGATAATAAAATTTATTCTTGCCCCATATATATGGCAGTCCGTCAATATGACAAAACACAGAAAGCAGCAGTAGAAAGAAATGAAACCAGAAAGTTAAGTAAATATTAACATAGACTGAGATCAAAGCTTAACCTACAATATTCACAGTCATCTGTTATAATATATTGATATAAATTACATAATGAGCCATAAGCAGATAAGAGGCTAGAAATGCATTAGATCTATAGTTACTTTAGTAACCGATTTTAAGACAGAGTCCGATAAGAATCTGTTACTAAAATAACTAGGAGATCGTTGACCAACTAGTCTTTCATTTTGCATAAATCTAATTTGAGCATCAACAGTCCTGACAGTACATCTATAGTCAACATGCATCAATTGATCACTTTCTTTCTCCAGACCAGCAAAAATTCTACAATTTTCATGATTTGTCATCTTAAGAACTGCAATCAAATACTGGTAAAACTATACAATCTGCTAGTGAGAGAGAGAGAGATGGGTTTTAAAGTCCACTTGACACAAACTAGGTCATTTCAGGACTAACATGGTTCAATTTTATTTCATTAATTCGCTTGCACGTAGGTTTCTTTAGCAGTGGGAGGGAACCGGAGGACCCAGAGAAAACCCATGATGTAGAACAAGCGACCCTACTCCTAGTCACGTACAACCAGGGAATCAAAACCATGTCAGTTGACTCAATGACAGACCTTATGAGTCAACGCGCATGCGCTAACCATTCAGCCATCCAACCACCCATAATCTGCTTGTGGCCCAGTACTAAATTATATCTATTTCTTATTGCTTAAATTGAACATTCTCTGACATTGAGGGTAAGTTGCAATTACATTTATAAAGTTAACAGACATAGAAGAGAATTTTAGATAACAAGTTACAGACGAGAAGAGAAGAATGCCATTTTGTTTGGGTAGCAAACCAAATTTATATAAACAATTCAATAAAATTCTTCAATCTTGATTTAAGGAAAATTTAACTTTAAGATATTAATATACAAATCGTAATATTCTCTCCCTTAAATTCTTGAATATATACAAATAATTACGTGCAAACATATAATACATGTGCTAACAACATTTCACAACCCAAACATAAAAATTAAACCAGAAAATTTTCTGATACGAAAAATTAAGGAGATGGCAAATATAACTTAGCAATGTACAAAATCTTTCTTAAAAACAAAACTTTTTTTCAATTAACGGTAATTATGGAAACTTAGCAATGTACAAAATTCTTTCTTAAAAACAAAACTTTTCAATTTAATGTACTTATGGAAACTTAGCAATGTACAAATTCTTCCATTAAAACAAAGCTTTTTTCAATTAACCTTAATTATGGAAGGCGTGACATTTTTCAGTATGCCTCATTTGTAAGTAAAAACATTATTGTAAGTTGTGTGGAATTGGATACACTGAATAATAAATTTATAGAAATTCCTTAATATTAAAACATACCAGGGGCCAAATTGATGGGATTGAATAACGCGTTTGTTTACCAACGTGATGAAGTATTAGGAAGGAATCGTGACTATGAGGGGTGATTTAAAACAAACTTGGGCTGTATAAGAGTAACTTATTAATATTTGTATTCTAAGATTTAATATTGCAAATTTTCACAGTTTATCATGCAAGGAATAAAAATAAAATCTGATAACAGATTGTCACCAACATCTTTACCTTTGAAATTTTTACCCTGAATTCAAGATGTTAAACCCTTATTTCTAGAAATGGTCTAAAGGCCAGTCCCCGATTTTACGGGACATTGAAATAACAATTGGACAAATTATGTGAATCCATTTCAAAATGTCACGACAAATTACCTTCAAATCAAAATATTGAGCAATTCGGAAATGATGGCCAGATTTGGTCAACAGGATTATGTAACTTGTTTTTAAGGCATTTCATTCAATTGTATAAGTGACTTGATAATCATGTCAGATCATTTAATGCTGTAACTTCTTCTAGTATAGACATGATTATCCAGGCATGTATACACTATGAAATATAGGGACCAAGCTTGTATTTCTTTGAAAAGGTGCCATAGAACGGAACTTGGATACATTTTTTATTTTATTAAAATATATCTGGGGATTTTCCCTTTAAGATAAGAAGTTGACAGTGCCAAGAATTAACCCTATGAAAATGAAGTTGTATTTTTATTATGTTTTCAAGTGAATCTAAATAAACATTGAATAGAGACTCGATACAAACAGTATTTAAAAAAAAAGATAAAAATTACAAAATAATAAACAAAAATGGAATTCTCATGTTGGTGGCTATAATTTAATTTAAAGTAAGAAAACTATAGTTTTGATGAGACTAAGGAAATATATTTTCACAAATTACAACCAAATATGGACAAAAAATGAAGCATGTGAAAATAAGGCATGTGAAGATATAGATTTCTTGTGAGAAATGATTAAACTCGAAGTATAAACATTATTAAATTGAGTAAATAATGTCAGATAAATAATCTGGAATTTGGTTACATAATAAAACATAATGTTAGACAAATCATCTTCAAATTGAAACATGGCTCAGTTACATAATAGAGAGGTTTCCCAACTTCACAGTTTCACTTACATTTACATGTTTCGCTAAATTCACACTTACAGTTACACTTAGTAGGTGGCGACATAAACTTGGTCCACGATCTCGATAGGCCTACATCACGGATAGATTATTAAAGATGAGATTAGTAAAGTACGCACATATTTTGTCTCGGCCTATTCTTATTGTATCTACACGAAGGAGAAGGTCTTCTCTGTTGATTTAGTTAGTGAAAAACCACAATTCAGAGAAAAATTGTGAACTCGATTATAGAAATTAAACAAGGTTTAGCTAAGTGTTGTGAACTTACAGATATAGAGGCTGCTATCCGTCGGACACACTTTTATGACGTGCGCTTCACGTCATGTCACAAAAACTAATGACATTTTACCGTCTAAATGTATATGCAAGTGTAAATGTAAAGTTACGAAATCTCTCTATTAAACGACAGGTAATACATATTATATAACAATCAATGCTGTTGGCTATTCTGACTTAGATTCTAAAATAAATAAAATGAGAAAAAAAATTAAAATAATTGCCTGAAAAATAATTCTACTGATTTATAGGGGTACTAATATTCATGTCAAATATAAAATGTCTGCAGATCTGCATTTTTAACTGTTGAAGCAATATGCCCACAAATCCAACCATCTTTGTTTGTTCATCTATTGCAGACATGATACATGTCTTATGCTAGTCTATCACGATTGTTCAAAATGGCGATTCCAAAATATGGACTGTGGAGTTAACCAAACCTACCGAGGAATCGTGTATAGTGTTGTGACATAACTACAGACATTATTTTTGAATGAATACCCCTCCATACTAATTGTCTACTAAATAATCAAAATTATTTAAAACTGGTTTCTATTCTTAAAAAAAATATTCTATGTGTGTTCTATCGATAAATAAATATAAACTAATTATAGTAGGCATACATATTGATAATCTGTCTTATAGCACTAAAATAACCAATTATTTTTAAATACAAAAAATATACGGTTATACATTGAAGGGGTGGAAATATGGACTCGTAAAATTAGCATACCATCAAATTAAGAAATGCCCTTTAACAAAACTAGACTGAAACATAGAATTATTATTTTGAGATTCTTCTTTAACTTTAAAAGTAGGACACTTGAGTCTGATTTTACACAGGTAAAGTTTTTAAAGGACCGGTATGTTTATTTGCAGTGGACTAGTCAATTTGATTAAAACACAGATCTATCTTTCGTTTCGTTTTTTTTTAATACTTTCGAAGGCCTCTACACGGGAGGTCGCGTCAGTGGTCATACAAGCGTCTTTTTACCCTATGACATTAGACATTTGATTAACCAATCAGTGTTGAGGTTTCTAGTGGGTTACCCACAGCTTTATGCAACTCACGCCAAAAATTTGCCCTAACAGACCATTTCATTGGCTAATCCCTCACACTAATAGGAACGCGGGTTATATAACAACTCTAGACAAGTAAAACGAAATTTTGAATTTTAAAAAAACCGAAAAGAAATAGGATCTGTGTTTTAATCAGTCTAAATATGGACTTTCGTTCTTAGATATCAGGTTTATTCGCGTACTGTATTTGTTTTTAAGATGCCTGGACCACAGAGCAAAACAAGAAGTCTTAACTCAGGGGTTTTCTTTAACTGGATGCCATGACATTTCTTTTCTTACTTTTTTAATATCGTCAATGACTTCCATAAATAACTTTCTTTACTAAACCCACAAATTCTTAGTTACTCTATAAACAAGCCTGGAAATAAGACATCAGTCACAATTTCCTCGATTTGGTGCCAGTCATTTTATCCTCGACTGATTCGTGTTTTTCTGTGTTATCATTGATATTATGAATACATATTCGGCACAAAGTTTGAAGTGTCCGGTACAAGTTCAGTAATGTCAGACTAGCCCCCCCCCCCCCCCCCGTGAAAAAATTGTTGACCATAAAAACAAAAGATATTACAGCACCCTTGAAAACACTTCCCGCCCCCCTCGTTGCTCTGAGCTATTTACGGCCATGTGTCAGACCATATTATTTCCAGGACTATCCAGATCTATTTATAGTTGTATATATTGTCTAGAACGTACGTGAAATATAAAAAGACCCAATGTTCGCTTTGGTTGAAGGCGATTTATCTATCTATATTGAACAAGAGCTAAACTACGACATACATTACAGCGAACTACCTTATATACATTAACGCAAATCTTTTAAAAGAATAATTTTATCACAGCATTGTCTTTACTTAAATTCAGCAGGCTTTTCATTATAACACATAATAGCTTTATATATAATCACATGGTTAAAATAGGATAGGTTGCCATGCAACGAAATATACGTGCATAGCAGCTAAGTTGTCTGAGCAGTTAATAAAGGCTGTCACATTTTTATTCTAGAATAAGTAACGAGATGGGAGGATTTAAAAGACACTCGGAATCAGATCAAGGGCAACAATCCATGTAGTAATCATCTAGGATACTACAAGGCTTTACTAAGAGACACTGACAGCAATTCAAATTGTAGAAATTCAATAGGATTCTTCATCTTATAAACACTGTTGTGTATAAAGTTTAAAGTCAATCAGATTATACAGGGCTTGCCAAGAAGATAATGATGTGAGCAATTAAGCACTCGCGCAAAATTTGCGAGTGGTTAAATTTACTCACGCAAATTCGCTTTACATGAGCAATAGGTCGCATACCAATATGGCAAATGTGTTGTCATGGAAACAATTAACACAAAACAGTAAATTCAACTTGATTAAAAGTTTGAACCAAATATAGGAAATGTACATGTTATTTTAAAATTAAAAAGAAAAATCTGATATTTTTTTTATTTATCAATTTAGGCAGGTAAGTTTGGAATCCCCGTGTAGCCCATGGCTGAAAATAAAACAGTGATCCCATTGACATAACATGCTCACAAAATCTCACATGGTTTCATTGGTCAATATGAATTAGAAAGTGATGTAATTGTGACGTACAACATGTTGGAATCTTCGACCGATGTGTGTACAGCGGCAGTGACAAACGAAGAATAGCAAACCTTTCAGTTTCACAACATCAGTTTTGTAAAAACAATAAATACTGACCCAAAAAGCAACGAGTTTGGTAGCAACTATTCATTGAACGACATGAGTGAGCAACATCTTCTCGCGCAGCAACAAGTTTGCGTGAGTGTTATGTGCGCTCGTTCACATCTTGTGGCAAGCCCAGTTATAACTTGATCTCTAGAACATCAACAAACAATTTTGAACGACAAAACGTCAAGACGGGCGGACAACATTATAAAGCTAAATTTTAATGTGAGCGTATAAACAATCATATTTGATCCTAAATAATGGACTAACTGTTTATCAAATAGACTATTAAATTTACTAGAAATGGCTAGTTTCCATATAGTTTTTAAACGTTTGCAATCGATTTATTTCCGTCACAAAAAGTGTGATTGCTGATCAAGATGTCTGGTTTAATTTTACACTATCAGCACAAACTTCTGCTAAATGGAGGAGAGAGAGAAATGGGATTTAACGTCCACTCGACACAAACTAGGTCATTTCAGGACTAACACACTTGCACGTGTGGGTTTTTAGCAGTGGGAGGACCTAAGAAAACCCACAAGGCTGGAGAGGTGACCCTACTCCTTGTCACGTACAACCGGGGAATCGAAACCTCGCGAGTTGACTCAATGACAGACCTTATGATACAGCGCGCCACGTGCTAACCATTCAGCCACCACCCCATCCCCCTTTGGGCTAAGACAGGCGACTCTACTCCTTATCACGTACAACTGGGGAATCGAAACCACACAAGTTGACTCAATGACAGACCTTATGATACAGTGTGCACATGCTAACCATTCGGCCATCACCCCATCCCCCCTTGGGGCTAATGGAAGATGGGACCATATGATTAAACCTCCAATATACGATTACAAACAGTTGTAAACTGTATGGAAACTTGTTCTAATAAAACTACTGACAGTCCCAGTTATTTTGATCTATTGAGCTATTACAATACCAGAATAAATAAAGGGAAATTCGTAAAAATATATTAAATTATTCATTGCTTTATGATTCACTTGGCATTAATTTATACACAGAACAAAAACACAAGAAGGATAAATTTTAAACATTATTAACTCGACGTCTTTTATAATTAATAAATACGTAAATAAAAATTGAGGATGTGTAAAATAGCAATCTGATCAAAATACAGATCTATATTTCGTTTCGTTTTTCTTAAACTTTTGATGGCCTACACTACATGAAGGTCGCGGAAGTTGTAGTGGAAGGTCGCGTCAAGTGTTATACGTGTAGCTTTTGACCCTATGACATCAGACTATGATTAATCAATCAGCATTAACATTTCTAGTGGTTTACCCACAGTTCTGTGCATCCTACGCCGAGAACTCCCCGTAACAGGCCGTTTCATTGGCTAATAACCTCACTTCAACCAGAATGCTTGTTATATAACAACTCTTCCAGATCCTAGTGTAGTAAAGACAAGTATAACGAGATTTTGAAGTATAAAAAATGAAACGAAATAGGATCTGTGTTTTAATAAGATTGGGAATAAAGTACTTCAAGAAGTATTATTATCTATACCAAAATTGAAAACAACTTACATAAAGCAACATATACGGTGAAATCAGAAAATCACCACAGATATAAGAGTCATCTCTAAAGCTAGGTTCCCACTATCATGATTTGCGCTACGATTGAAATCATGGAGTAATCCTATCCAGTCTTCAGTGGTAGCAATCGTGTTGATCGTATCGAAACGTAAGTGAATGTATCTGCATGTACCAGATCATGAACTCAATAGGGGACAATCCTAACGCATCACATGACAGTGGAAACCTAGTCTTATCAATTTACAAGAAATGTCTTATCTTAAAATATGGATAGCTGGATAAATCTCAAATTAAACACACAATTTAATATTCACATGTCTAATTTAACTGCATAGTTAAATTAGGTAATATGTTTTGTTTTAAACATTAGCAACGGTTACTAGTGACAGTACCTCTTTAATAACATCATATTGAACACTTTTCAATTTGTGATAAATTTTACACCATGTCAACTGAGACTGATGTATATTGGTTTTTATAATTAGATCACGTATAGTTTGTAATAAATTCTATGATAAAGAAAAAGTACAGTAAACCTCGCATAAGTCGGAATCGTATAATTCAGATCTTTGCTCAACTCGGATAAAATTGTTTGGACCCTTTGATCCTGCACGATTTTCTTATTAAATTTCCTAAGTCGGTTCCTTGCTCAACTCGGATCAAAATGTTCGGTCCATTTGATCTAATTCTGGCTTTTTTCCTTTGCCTAAGTCGGATCAGCAGTATGTTCAGAATTTGACTGTCAGTTTTGTCCCGATGGTCTAAACCGCGGTTAGGTATTTCATGCACAGAGCACCAAAATACTTCCTTCCATTATTTTGATTCAAATCAGCCTTATTTGATAGAAATTTATTGTCAAATTCGAAACTGGCTGTCTGCTGTAATAGACATTTTCCTGGGAAAATTTAGGACATTTTTCAAAGATGGCGACAAAACAGAAGTTATCTAATCGCACCAAAACAGAAGTTATCTACTCGCACATACAAACAAAAGCTTGAAATGTGCCTTTGAATCAATTACTATCCGCCTCCTGCAGTTTATTTCTAATCGAGCTAAGATTGAATTTCGGTCTTCGGCTAACTCGGATCTTCGCTTAACTCAGAAAAAATGAGTAAGTTCACTTAGATCCAACTTATACGACGTTTACTGTATAATTTATCTTTGATAACACGTTGAATAAAAAAACAAAAAAACATAATAATTTACCTACTAAACAGGACATTAGAATTCATCGATGAATCGTTGCAGCCCTATAATTTACCCACGAAACATGACATAAGACTTCATCGAATAAACTCTTTACTCATTTGCATATTGTTTTAAAACAAGTGTCTAGTAATTTAGATGCTACACGAACAAGATTTAAACATCACGTTTATTTATAAAGAGACGAAACAAGTCATAAGTATGCTGTTTGGCAAGTTGTTTACAGAATAACAATGGGACCGCCTAAAATAAGCTATGACCAAAACACGATTATAATTGTTGGGAATTTATCTAGGTGGTTTTCTAGCCTTTATATTTCTACTTAAAGTCTCCTCTTCTTGAAGTTCTCTTCTAAACGTTGCAACTTTTTCTAGAAATAAAACAGTAATTTGGGTCATAAAATATTAATAAATGAAATGAAATGGGGTTTAACGTCCTACTGTTCTGCTCCAAACTGGGCTAATGAAGATGGGCATACGCCATACATTGTGCTATAAGGGAAATTTTGCCTGGACAGCGGCACTACAGCCTACTCTTATATCGAATTCCAACTGTCAAGGGATCTTTTACGGGCACCCCAATGTGTACACGGGACCGCGGGTTTTCGTCCCATCCGAATGACTAGACAGCTGTTCTTGTCAGCCCTCCATCTTGCATCACCAACAAGGGAGAACCAAGCCGGGAAATCTGGATGAACTTTCTCGGCCAATGCAGTGATCGAACACCCAACCTCCAGGCTAGCGAGCCAGCGTCTTACCCACCGCGATCCCCGTCTTTACAACGAGTTAAAACATATTATGGTCATTTACAAACTTATAGAGAGAGGGTTTAACATACACTCGACACAAACCAGGTAATTTCGGGACTAACATATGGTTTAATTTTTTTAATTTAATAATTCGCTTGCGCATAGGGGTCTTTAGCAGTGGGAGGAAACCGGAGGACCCGGAGACAACCCAAGAGGTTGGACAGGTGACCCTACTCCTTATATTATGCTGGATTAAGCAGTAAAAAAGTCAGTTGTCATATTGTGTCAATAGTTGTGATAATCACTAAATACCGGTAGTTAAATGTTACTGACACCTGTGTAAAGGTTAAAAGGTCAAATTGGTGATAATAGTAGTAAATATAATTTACCTCTCATCGATGTTAACATTTGTATTCTCTTCACTAAACTAACATCCAATTGTTTAGCATATGCTACAAAATATTACAAATATATTGATACAACTTTAACACATGTTATACTTGACAATCTATTAAAACACAGATCCTAGGTATTTAGGTATAGATTAATAAATATCAGTGAGTCTATATCTATATATATTACACATTCCAACTGTCTAAAAACAAACACTGCCAAATATTCTTCATGAAAACCAGGTAACATGTTGAGTTAAAAGTGGCAGAACACATTGACATAGGTTGAAATACAACATGGAATTAAGTTATTTCGACAATCTGATTAACACACAGATCCTATTTCCTTTCGTTTTTTTTATAGTTCAAAATTTCTTGTCTTTACTACACTAGGATCTGGAAGATTTGTTATATAACCCGCACTTTGGTTGATATGAGAGATTAGCTAATGAAATGGTCTGTTAGGGAGAATTCTTGGTGTCAACGCTGGTTGATTAATCAATGTCTGACGTCATAGGGTCAAAAGCCGCTTGTACGACCCCTGACATGACCTCCCAGTACAACTGGTCAGATCTTCATGTAGGCCATCGAAAGTATAAAAACCAAAATGAAATATAGATGCATATTTTAATCAGATTGTTTGCAATAATAAATAAAAGTGAATATTTGAGCAGAAATTGTTGTATATTTAAACTAACTGACCTTCTGTATCGTAATCAACACTTTCTGTTATTTTTAACAATCGTTTATCTTCTGATAACCACTTCTGATTTTGCTGTAATCAAAAATAAAGTGTGTGAGAGAGAGAGAGAGAGAGAGAGAGAGAGAGAGAGAGAGAGAAATGGGGTTTAACGTCCACTCGACGCAAACTAAGACATTTCGGAACTAACATATGGTTCAATTTTATTTCCATAACCTACAGTCATTGTTAACTTCCACACGTTCACACAGTTCATATAGGGAATTTCCCAGTTTGGGCTAAGAAGAATCGTTAAGAGTTTTTCAACTCTGATTTTCAACTGTCTAGTCTTTTGGATTGACTGGAGAGAGAGAGAGAGGGTTTAATATCCACTCAACACAAAGTAGGTCATATCAGGACTAACATGGTTCAATTTTATTTCAATAATTTGCTTGCGCGTAGGGGTCTTTAGCAGTCGGAGGGAAACCGGAGGACCCAGAGAAAAACGTAAAATTTACATACAAGTGGGGAATTGAAACCACGCCAGCTGACTCAATAACAGACCTTATGATGCAACACTAACGCCCGATTAAAAGAAATGAACTGTAATGATGTTAATTTCAATATACTGTCTTGACAAGACGTTATTCCAGAGATTACAATGGTCGAGATTATTTCTATGACCTACATGTATAAGAAATGTTTTACCTCTGCTAATGACTTATGGTCTTCTATTACTTCTTCTTCCATTTCTTGCATCTTATTCATAGCTTGATGGAATGATAATAATTCTTCTGATACCTCTTCTTGCTATAATATATAAACATAAATACCTCTACTGCTAAATAAAATTCATAATTTGTAATCAATCCTAAAAAACAAAAAAGCCTGGGAATAGATGAAATGAAATTTAACGTCCTACTGGGCTTATGAAGACGGGCATGTCATACAGTGTGTTATGAGGGACATTTTTCTTTGACAGCGGAACTACGGCCTACTCTTATATCAAATTCCAATTGTGAAGGTATCTTTTATGTGCATGCCAATGTGTACACAGGGCCTTGGGATTTTGTCTGATCCTAATGACAAGACAGCTGTCCTTGTCAGGTTGCCCCGTCCTGCATCACTGACAAAGGGAAACCACGCCAGAAAATCCTGATGAACAACCTGGAAATAAGGTACCTGTCACAGACAATGTCAGGCACCATTTTTTGCATCCCCGACTTTTGTCAAAATGTCAGGTATTCGTTCAGTAAAACCAGTAATTTTGACAAGTACAAGTAAAACCTTATTTCCATGCCTGATATTAATAACGGTCCTGTAATAAAGTCGATATTTGGAACTTATGACTTCATCAATTTCATCACATTCCTATTGTCTTCATGGAAAGTCTTTGTTGAGATAAGGATATTAAAATCCACAATATATTGCCATTGTTACAATATTTTAGTACTTTGTGAAAGGAGACTGGAAATACGATGGTGAATATCTCAAGTAGATTTCTCCGAGAAGCAAATAAATTTAAATGACTGTAAGGTCAAGCTTATGTTTCACAGAATATTATTAGACACGTGTCAACAATATATTACATTATTACGGTATTTTAATGATCAAAATATTTTGTTGAACACAAAACTTATGAATTAAGGGGCATTATGGGAGATTAGATAAAGAGTTGACAGTTCTCACTATAATAGCTAAAAACTAGATAATGTAAATAGAATATGCTGAAAATTTCAGTCAAATTGATCCACTCTGAACCAAGATATTAGCGATTGAATTTTAGGCCTAGCCTCGATCATCATTACTGAAGTCTGTACGATAAAAAACAGAGTCTCGATTATCAATTTAATCGTTAAACCATCTTTCACAAAATGTATTCAAATCCAACCGAGAGTTGATTATGGTCTGGATAAGTTAATTAATGTCTAATTAATAGTTTAGAAAACATTTCAGGCCTAAAGAAAGACAATAGGCAGATTTAGCACTTGCATAATGTATGTTTAATAAACCAGCGTAGATTTATCAAGTATAAATTTTGACGTATGATCAAACTGATTTACACTAAGTTTCAATAAAATACAATTATATTGTTGAAGAAATGGCGATAATCTTAGGTCAAACATAACATTGGATATTTGGATTATTGCAGTATTTTTAACGGTCAAAACATTTTTATCAATAAATTATAATATCACACAAAATAATAACTATACCATTTTTGTCAATAAATTTTACATATTGCAATATTATTTTATTGATTTATTGAAATTATTGTCCAACTCTATATAATATCACACAAAATAATTACTATACCGTTTGTTTTTCCATTTTTCTTGATAAATAAAATGTCAAGATAAGTTCACAAACTTATATAGATTTTATTATTTTTAAAATAACCTTAAGGATATCCTGTACTCTGACATTTAATAGTTGTAACATGGACTGTATATAGTTGTATCTTAGTAGGAAAACAACAGGGAAGTAGAATAAAGGGAGTAGAGGTTTCGTTATATTCTATCTCATTATCTTGTTTACCGTGGCACAGTGTCTCAGTGAGTAATGAAATGAAATGAAATGGGGTTTAACGTCCTACTGTTCTGCTCCGAACTGGGCTAATGAAGACGGGCATACACCATAAAGTGTGTTACGATGGAAATTTTGCCCTAATAGCGGCACTATGGCCTAGTCTTATATCGAATTCCAACTGTCAAGGGATCTTTTATGTGCATGCCAATGTGTACACGGGACCTCAGTTTTCCGTCCCATCCGAACAACTAGACAGCTGTCCTTGTCAGGCCCTCCGTCCTGCATCACTGACCAGGGGGAACCACGCCGGTTAATCTGGATGAACTTTCTCGGCCAGGTTAGCGAGCCAGCGTCTTACCCACTTGGCCACCGTGATCCCCGTCTCAGTGAGTAAGATGTTGGATTGCTAACCAGGAAGCCCTGTTTTTGATCCCGGTGTTGGCCGAGAAAGTTCGTCAGGATTTACTGGTGTGCTCCCCCCTTGTCAGTAGTGCAGGACAGAGGGTCTGACAAGGACAGAGGGTCTGACAAGGACAGCTGTCTAGTTGTTCGGATGGGACAAAAACAAAAAACAAGGTCCCATGTACAGTTTTTTTGTATACATTGGCGTACACGTAAAAGTAGTGGGAATTTGATATTTGGTAGGCCATAGTGTCGATGCCCGAGCAAAATTTCCCTTAGCACACTGTATGGCATATGCCCGTCTTCATTATCACAGTATAGGAGCAAAACAGTAGGACATTAAACCCCATTTCATTTCATTTCATTTACATCCTGATTATCAGAGTCTTGGGTGCAGGGCTTTCATTTTTTAAAAAATGTCCCGTCAGTCAGTTTTGGACTTTAGGCATGAAATGTTATATAAATTATTAATTAGACATTTATTAACATGAAAAGACCGTTATCAACTCCCGATGGCATCAGATGGGTCCTATTTTCCACAGATTTGAATCCGATCTGCAGTTCAACGGCCGTTGATGATTAACCCTAAGAATGGATAATCAAGACTTTGTTTATTATCGTAATAACTGTCACAGTGACAATCAAGGTTACAGTGTTATTAAAATGAGTATTTGTTGACTCAGAATGAAGTAATATGACTGAAATTTTCAGCACATTCCCTTTACATTATCTTTATTTTAACTATTAAATTGAGAACTGTCAGTTTTTTTATCTAATCTACAATAATGCCGATTTTAAAAATGAGAGGAAAATAATGAAACGAAATATAAAGTATCTTCTACTCCCTTGGTTTATTTGTCATTAAATAAACATATAACAGGAAGTCAACATCAAGCTACATGTAGAAAATACATAGTTTTACTCGTTTTAATTTTTTATGTTCTTAAAGTCAGGTCACACACTACAAAGCAACTAGAGTACACGAGATCACAGCATTAGGTACTATAATAGAAAAGACCCTGGGCTCTGTTTCTCGAAATCTTAACTAAAGATAAAGTCCAAATTTTAGTAGATACTTCAATTTTGATTGGCTAAGCACTAAAATCAATCTAATATTATCCAATCAAATTACTAAAATTTGGATTTTATCTTAGTTAAAATTTTGTGAAACAACCCCCTGGTTGACATCCACCATTTTGATTTTTTGACCACAGAAAGAATCACGTCTGCTGTGATTCTAAATTTCGATTCAACTGAATTGAAGGAATGTCAATTTCCTATTGCAATGAAATATTGGATCTAGTGTTGTATTGTAATATTGGATCTAGTGTTGTATTGTAATATTGGATCTAGTGTTGTATTGTAATATTGGATCTAGTGTTGTATTGTAATATTGGATCTGGTGTTGTATTGTAATATTGGATCTAGTGTTGTATTGTAATATTGGATCTAGTGTTGTATTGTAATATTGGATCTAGTGTTGTATTGTAATATTGAATCTAGTGTTGTATTGTAATATTGGATCTAGTGTTGTATTGTAATATTTGTATTTTACGAGAAAGAGAAATGGGATTTAACTTCCACTTGACACAAACTAGGTCATTTCGAAACTAACATATGGTTCAATTTTATTTCAATAATTTCCTTGAGCGTAGGGGTCTTTAGCAGTGGGAGGAACTTGGAGGACCTGGAGAAAACGCACAAGGTTTGACAAGCGATCCAACTTCTTGTCACAATAAAATGCTGTTCTTAACTCTCTGTGTGTGGTTCTTTTAAAGTAGCCAAGTCTCTAACTCAATATCATCCAAAATCTTCGACATTGAAAACACGAATTATCTGTCAATTTTAATCAACATTGGTGTAATGGTGTTGTGATCTTACTGGAAAAAGATGGGCTTCTGATATCCAATATTTAAGACAAAATAAACATTTTACCATTGGTACACAAATCGTGTACCAAAATGCGTTTCAGTGCCATTTGTAATGAAACGACTTGATGAAAGAGGGGAGAATACTACCGGTGTAGACTGGAATAACCAGATGCCAAAGATTGCCAATCAATTTGAACTCTTCACGTTTTGCACCAAACATAACTGATCAGAAATTAGACTAAAATAGAAACGATTGAATGTAAATCAGTTTACATACATTCATATAACATTATTATATGCATTGAGACTCATTTGTGTCTAATTCTAGGTGCCAAATATTAGAGATTTAGCTCCTTTAAGTGAAGAGATATAGATTAGTACTTACATTAGAAGTTTTTAACATATGTAGATCACTATTCTGTGGTGACATGGTACCTAATGGTAGATTATCTGATGGTGACACCTCGGCTGGTTTACCTTCAACTTTACCACCTGGTCCTAATTCTTTTACTCTATATTAAATATACAACAACATTATAATATAAACACCTTTTACTATATATCAAATATACAACAATATCATAATATAAATCAAACAGTCTGTCTCGCAATTTCAACAATTCAAGAAGCAAACAATATCTGTGTTAATTATAACCATTCTCTCAACATTATATCCAATCCTCACCATCTATGGTCACTCTCATCCTGCCCACGGCACATGTTCACTCGTATGATTCACATTACATTATAAACATGAATGATTCACATTACATCATAAACGATGTAAGCACAAGCACAAGTGAATTAATGAAATAAAATTGAACCACATGTCAGTCCCGAAATGACCAAGTTTTTCTTGAGTGGACATGAAACCCCATTTCATTTCATGTCTGTATTGAGTATTAAAGTCTTACCTGTCAGCGTAGCGTAAAGTATTAAAAGTCTTACCTGTCAGCGTAGCGTAAAGTATTAAAAGTCTTACCCGTCAGCATAGCGTAAAGTATTAAAAGTCTTACCTGTCAGCATAGCGTAAGGTATTAAAAGTCTTACCTGTCAGCATAGCGTAAAGTATTTAGAGTATTTTCAACACAGCTCATACCAGGTGATATCATAGCAATCTACAAATAAATATTATCAAATGTCTAAAGGAACAGATTTGGCAAATTATTACAGATTCTCTAGAAAGCCTGTTGCTTATTCAGCTTTTCATGAAGAACAATAAAAAATTAAAAACCTCCCAAAGCACAATTTTCTGAAAACCAGAATATTTTTTGAGATGTGGCCTAAACTTTATTATTATTTAATATGCAATAAAAGGCAGCAAAATTTTGTTTCATATTTGTAAAATCTGTCAATTATTTAGCAAGAATTCTTATCCATTTCCATGGATCTGCAAGAATGAAATTCTAAGAACTTCTAGATCTCTAACAACACAACCGAATGTACAGGTATATAATTCAACGTGGATGTTTATTCTGTAAAACAATCTGATTAAAATACAGATCTATATTTAGTTTCGTCTTTTTTTATTTACTTTTGATGGCCTATACTACATGACCAGTTGTAGCGGAAGGTCACATCAGAGGTCATAGGAGCGGCTTTTGATCATAAAATGTCAGACATTTTATTAATCAATTTGCGTTGATATTTCTAGTGGGTTACCCACAGTTTCATTCAGTACGCCGGTTATATAGCAACTCTTCCAGATCCTAGTGTAGTAGACAAGTAAAACGAAATTTTGAACAATCAAAAATGAAACGAAATAGGATCTGTGTTTTAATCAGATTGGGTTTCAAATGTTTATATGACAAACTTACCATGCACGTTCTCGAACCTTCCTTTATAAAAGAATCACGTAGAACCTGTGTTAGTTTACTAGCACGGAATGGTGTGTGGGCTCCTCTTCTACCTAAAGCTCTTATACACTCCTAAAATAAAAAACAATCAAATTATAATACAGAGACAATATTTTAACTTTTATATTCTTCATAATTAGATTACTGTTACATTGATAAAAGTTAAAGGGACAATAACACTCTTGCTGGCTTGACAGTTCCAGAAAATAAAAAATAGTCTTATTCTAAGTACTAGATTTGTTAGTGTCCTTCCTGTTGTGTAAATTATCCATTAAATCCTATTTTACTTGTCCAGAGGGTTCAAAAATATTTTTAAATCCAAGTCACATTTGAAAAGCTTTACGTCAGGCTTTTCAAATCATTTAGTTGAATTTTTCCAATTTTTTAAATTGGGTGTGTTAAGATGAAATTTGCATCATCAATTAATTAGAATATTGTAAATAGATTGGTACATATTATTCAGTTACAACAAGAGTGGTATTGAGCCTTTAAAGGACAATATTGGTGTCAGCCATTACCACATATGTAATAGAACTGGATCCAGGTATATATTGTCCTTTCATACTTAGATGACAGTCACATGACACTGATAGAAGTCAATATAAAAAAAAAAGAAAGGTTTTCTATATGTCCAAACCATGAAACACGGAAATTTATACATGAAATTTTTGAAAGTTCAGTAAAAAGGCGTAACGTAAAAGCTGAGGTCTTTAGATAAATACATTTGAATATGCAGTTAAATTGAGACCAGAAAATAGCATAGTATGAAAATTAGATATTAAATGTGTTTGAGTTTAGGCAACACAAATAAAATAAGTTGTTTCTCGGGCACCGCCCGCACACAAAATTGGTTGCGCGTGCGGCCTATTTATTAGTCTTGATGAAAAATAAAAAATATGTAACGCCCGCCCGAACATCGATAAGCAAGTCATAAAAAATATATGCCGCATGTATCTACATGCCCCATACGTGAATATCCATTCAAATGTATTAAACTGATTCAGATGTAAACGCTCATTTACGGGTCTTTTTTTTATTGATAACGAAAGAACCTCCATTTTTGTATCACGTGATTTTAATTACCTCCCCTTGTGAACTAGAATTTGATTCGTGTTAAACACCGAAAGTCATTGACAACAATGCAATGTATTTCAATCATTCGATCTTAATCGGCCCATTATTGCCGGCTTCAGTCGGTCCATGTTTGAAAAAATCCTACTTATAAAACAATGAATCGTAGAACAGGTTAATTATTATAACTTGTGGCTACGAATACGATACGATGATAGTCACCATACCTTAGTCAGAATCTGGGTCATTAGCACATTTAACGGTAGTTTTGATAATCCTGAAAATAATTATTGGATTACACATTTGATGGTTTTACTGACGAGTTGTTAGTTAAATTTAAATAGTCATTCGATATAAACCCCAGATAGAACACCGAATATCCTGAGAAACACGCCGAATAACCTGAGAAACAGTCATTTCCCGAATCCCGATGACACGTGACATGCATTGGTTGGAATTAGGTCAATCATTATAAACCAGCGATACTAGATTTAGATCGAAGTGTCGTTTATCGTGATGATTATTTTTGATAAACATGCTGTCAGAGACTTACTCTTTAAAATATTGTCGTTATTATGGACGGCTATTAATAGTCGTACGGAATTTTATTTTAAACCAATTTCAATTATGGTTGTCACCATTACCATTAGTAAGCTAGTACAATACGTGAATTAAATATGGAAAATTATTTTCCTTTCAGTGTACAGTGTTTGAGTAGACTTGATTTTTGGGTTTATGTTCTAAGTATGTTTAATATATAACTGAAAGCAAAACCGTAGACAAGTAATGACTTTCTCATTAAAAAAAAAAAAAAAATACAAGGCCGCCCTCCCGCCCCAACAATTTTCAACAATAGCCAAATTTTATTTTGCACCATCCTCTAGCCAGAAATGAGGTAAAAAAAAAAATAAACCGCCCTCCCCCCCTACAGTTTCAGCTGTCAGTTGCCCGAGAAACAAGACATTTATTTTGTGTAGCCTTATATTAATAATACCTTTAAAGCTAGTAAACTTTTGTTGATTTCAGCCCCTTCCATTCTCGTCTGTCTATCAGCACTTGACGTATCAGCTCCTCTTTCATTACCTGTAAAATAATAACGACCACAGTATAAATATATTTTTCTTGAACACTGGATGACACTTCTCACTTATTAGTAAAGTTCATGTAGCTAACAGGTTTTTTTTTGTACTTGGGCATTTACAGCCAACATAATTCAAATGTGAAAATACAAGATTACTTGACTATCAATTCAATCTGCCTAAAGCTAACTTGGGCATTTGTAAGAGAGAGAGAGAGAGAGAGAGAGAGAGAGAGAGAGAGAGAGAGAGAGAGAGAGAGAGAGAAATGGGGTTTAACGTCCACTCGACACAAACTAGGTCATTTCGGGACTAATATATGGTTTAATTTTTTTATGTCAATAATTCGCTTGCGCGTAGGGGTCTTTAGCAGTGGGAGGAAATCGGAAGACCCGGAGAAAACCCACGAGGTTGGACAGGCGACCCTACTCCTTGTCACGTACACCGTATGATACAGCGCGCCATCCAACCCCCCCATTTGTAAGAAATAATTGATATCTGTTTCTCTCAATGAAAATCACCACAAACACGAGACTTACCTGCTAAATCAATAAGAGAAAACTTTCCAAATAATTTATTCGTATTTCTGGAGAAAAAAAAAGGACAAATTATAAGGAAATTTAATAATCATGAAAAATTACACAGAAGCTAGAAATGTTAATTCTGTTGGTGAATTCAGAAACATATTCTAATTAACTGTCTTACATGTGGCAATAAAAATAGTGAAGCCACAGTCTTTTATTGAGTATAGCGCTGGCCCACTATTCAGGAGAGTCCCATGTTTAATCGTAATGTTTGCTAGAAATGTTTCTCAGGTTTTTCCAGCCTAGTTTTCTCTTCTCCGCGATGTAGCACAGATCATTTAGGATCAGATCAATAACAGAGGTAATGCGTACATATTGACAGCATGCAAACGAACCAATGGCAGTGTTGGCAGAAACACTGGTGTCCAACATGCTGTCCAGGCACAACTTTCACTCATAGTAAACTGCATAGCGTTTGTCTGTCTTCATTAGTGCATTAAAGTAAGATGTAAAAAAACTCATTTCATTGCATGTGTAATTAAATATTAAAGTAATATGTTAAAACCCATTTCATGTGTAATTAAATATTAAAGTAAGGTGTTAAAACCCATTTCATGTGTAATTAAATATTAAAGTAAGGTGTTAAAACCCATTTCATGTGTAATTAAATATTAAAGTAAAACTGACCTTTTTCTGAGAATGATTTGAAATACTGCATGAGAACGTGATGAATGTTGGTTAGCAGATGTAGTACCAGACGTCCTGAAACAAAAATTCAAACCATATAAAATACTCTTGCCAGTGCTTTTCTTCATCTAGATATATTGATGGAGAGAGAGAGAGAGAGAGAGAGAGATAGAGAGATCTTTAGCTGTGGAGGAAAATGGTGGACCCAGAGAAAACCCACAAGGTTGGACACATGACCCTACTCCTTGTCACATACCAGCATGGAATCGCAACCATGCCACTTGACTCAATGACAGACCTATCTACGCACACATGTAAACCCCCCCCCCCACCCCCAAACACTAATCAGGAGAGATGTATTATCTACCTGACGTTATTTTCATGTTGTATAAAAGGTTAAAGATACATTAGTTAAGAGTTTGATAAAGAGTTGGTCATTCTTGCTATAATAATTCAAAAATAGATGATAAAAAAAGAAAATACTGAAAATTTCATTCAAATTATTTCATTCTCAGCCAAGTTATCATTGTTTGTAGTTTTGACAAGATGTGTGCATAGTGGTAACCAGGGTACTGGTATAATCAGGACTTAGCCTCGCTTTCCCATTTTTAAATTAAATTTTTAAATGGCAAACCATTTTAATCTAGTTAAAATCTTGAGTATCTGATGCCATCGAGAGTTGATTATGGCCTGGATAAGTTAATTAATGTCTAATTAATAATTTAGATAACATTTCAGGCCTAAAGAAAGACCTACAACAGGCAGATTTACCTCTTGCATAATGTATGTTTAAGTAGAGATGTATTTATTTACCTGACATTATTTCCATGTTGTATAAGACGTTATGTATTATTTACCAGACGTTATTTCCATGTTGTATAAGACGTTATGTATTATTTACCAGACGTTATTTCCATGTTGTATAAGAAGTTAAGTATTTATTTACCTGAGTTATTTCACTGTTGTATAAGAGGTTAATTAGAAAGGTGTACTATTTACCTGACATTATTTATCCATGTTGTATAAGAGGTATGTATTATTTACCTGACAGTATTTCCATGTTGTATAAGAGGTTAATTAGAAAGGTGTACTATTTACCTGACGTTATTTCCATGTTGTATTAGAGGTTAATTAGAAAGGTGTACTATTTACCTGACGTTATTTCCATGTTGTATTAGAGGTTAATCAGAAAGGTGTATTATTTACCTGACATTATTTCCATGTTGTATAAGAGGTTAATTAGAAAGGTGTATTATTTACCGGACATTATTTCCATGCTGTATAAGAGGTTAATTAAAAAGGTGTATTATTTACCTGACATTATTTCCATGTTGTATAAGATGTAAAACATCATCAGCATTATTTACACTTTCTTCCCGTAATCCTACAATCTGTACTTGTTGTTTAGCGTCTTCTAAAACTCGTAACTTGGTTTTATTATTTAATAAATCAAACACCTACAAACACATCAATAAATCTCATCAACACTCTTCTTAAAGGATTCAAGGATTCTTTATTGTGCCCGACAATAGTGTTCCTCGCTTTTTTAGTAATATTATGTTGACATAGAATTTCACTATAATTTGTATACTAAGATGAAATTCGAAGGTTTTATCTTGTTATTCAAGAAAGAGATGGTTTAACGTCCACTTGACAAAAACCAGGGACTAACATACAGTTCAATCTTATTTTCACTGCCTTGCGCATAAGGGGATTTTAGCTGTGGGAGGAAACCATATGGTCGTACAGTCCACCCCACGCCTTGTCATGTTCAAGCTGGGACTTAAAAACACGACACATGATTCAATGACAGACGTTAGGATCTAACGTGCACAAGTTAAACCATTCGGATAATATGAACAACAAGCCCCCTTGTACACCATTGGTAACCCATTAAAGTATTGTCCACAATAACCTTGTTAACATGTATATCTGAATATCCCCTACTTTTTTTTTTTTGAAGAGTATATTTAAAATATAGCAGTATCTAAGAAACACGAATTGAACTACTTACTTTACCACTATAAATCTCGAAAAAACTTGCTCCAACCACTAGATCCGATTTTTTATATTTCGAATGTAATAATTTAAATACATCTTTTGCTGCAATACAATTGAAGATAAATAAAGACACTGATACTAAGATGCTTATTTCAAACCTCAAACTTAACATATATTTAGCCTAAACAAAACAATCAGACTAGGTACTACATTTGTGTCATTGCTGTAATGCAGAATTATTTACAGCCACTTTCAAAAGTTAATAAAGGGAATGCAGTTTTATAAGGCTTTTCCACAATCTTTTATAATTTTATTCTTGTTATCATCAGATAAACAATGGTCTTTGTACCTTTCGCTAGGGGCAGACGAGCGTATTTTATCGCTTGATCGCTCTGCTTAAAATTTGCCATCGATTCTTTATGGCTGATCATGAACAGACACGTGTAGCGATCAACTCGAAAATGTACACTTTCTGCGAGTCAATTACATCGATCATGTGACTTGTTCTAAGTGGCGAGTTGCCGAAATCGTAAGATTGCTGTTGTAGATGGCTATTTATTTGCTAAAAGTAAAAGACAGAATATCTAGAAGGGCTCGTTAGACAAATTGAAACTTGTGGTACAGGAGTTAGAATCCATGCTTCGGCAGTGGAGGCAGACATTTTGAGCTCATGTGATATCAATCATGTCTTCATGGCTTATAAAAATGGTTCGCCCGACAATACACACTTGACACAAGCACACAAGTGAATTTGATCGCCGGCAAAAAATATTTGGCTAGATAAGTGATTTTAAAAATCAACGCATTAGGTGAAAAAATATGCTCGTCTGACCCTCATGTAGTAGATATATCATTTGAAATTTAATACATTACCTGCTAAGCAATATATTCCTTTAGAACAATCTTGTTGGCCCTTTGCTGAAAAATTACCTCCCATCGTCTGTAGGTGAAAATAAATTAACAAAAAACACATCAAGTTATGAAAGTTATAGATTGGGAAAAAAAATGGTTGAATCTGGTGAGATTAAAGTATTATGCAAATGTTCTTAATTGATATACAGGGCTGAGAACAGTTAACTTGGCTAATATATAAACGAAAATTACGTGTTAATAAAAATGAATGGACACACTAAAACTCTATGAGGTCATGTATGCACATTCGGCTTGAACATCGTTATACAGAACCATGAAACCGAGCCTACATCATGCAAAATATCATCCAGAGACCACAATGCAACTGTTGCTTTAATTATGTCTGTTGGATCGCAAGTGTCTGGGCGAAACAACTTGGTCTCTAGTCTCCCTTGAAATAAAGGGTCATGGTCGAAAGCACAAAATTCGATTTGTTTTTAAATGCTTTCAGTTAAAATGCAACCTAAATCCCAGATTTGGAGTCCAGAATAAAACTAATAATCAAGAATAATTTTTGTTTACTCTCTGAAATAGGTTGGCTACGGAAATGACCATGTTTTAGAAGCTTTGTTAACTTGTTAACTTTAAAATTTTAACGCGTTAACCAGTTAACTTGCTCTCAGTCCTGGCTCCCATCATATGGAACTCTTTACCACCATGTGTTAAAAGTATTGAAAATAAAAGGGCATTAAAATGGAATTTAAAAACAAAACTTTTTCAACGTTCATATTTGTAATGACTTTTTTGGCCATTGTTTAGTATCATAGTGCCATAATAAGAAATTTTGAATAATTTGTCTATATTTAGCAGTATAAAACCAGCGGCTGCCAGGCAGGATACGCCCACATTTTGCAAGAGTTCAGGTATCTGCGATTATTCACACATTTTTTTTAAATCAGACAAAAATTGTGACCTCTAGAGGGACCTCAAGCTAAAAACGTGATTTTTCGTACAATCAAGGGCCATAATCCATGAAGTTACAGTCCGATACATGCCAATATCGAAAGGAACCGAGATCTTAGGGTGATAAACCTATATTTCAAGTTTCGTTGAAATCGGATAAAAAATGTGACCTCTTAGAGTGTTCACAAACAATTGTGGATGGATGGACGGACAGGGACGACGACAATATACGTCCACATGAAAATGTGAGCGTATAAAAAGAATGTGACTAAAATAAGAAATAAATAACTTACATGTGTTTTACCACTTCCTGTTTGACCATAAGCGAAACAAGTAGCCATACTTCCTTCAAATATACACTCAACTAATGGCTTTGCTGTATATCTTTAAAAATAAACAAATTTGAAAAAAATATTCAAAGACATGCTCCTTTTACTGTTTAAAGGAGAGAGAGAGAGAAATGGGGTTTAACATCCACTCGACACAAACTAGGTCATTTCGGGACTAACATATGGTTTAATTTTATTTCAATAATTCGCTTGCGCGTAGGCGTCTTTAGCAGTGGGAGGAAACCGGAGGACCTCTTGTCACTTACAACCAGGGATTCGAAACCACGCCAGTCGACTCAATGACAGACTTTATGATACAGCGCGCGCACGCTAACCATTCAGCTATCCAATCCCCCCCCCCCCTTGTTTAAAGGAGGTAAATTGCTAATATTTGGGACAAAGAAATTGACACAAATGGGTCGAAACACATATGATAATGTAATATGAATGTATATAATAAACTGATTTACATTCAATCATTTCCATTTTTACTCTAATTTCAAATCATTTATGTTTGGCGAAATATGACAGAAGTCTCATTCGAATGGCAATCTCTTGCATCTGGGTATGCCAGTCTACACTGATAGTATTTATTGCACATGCTCTCCAGAAAAGAATATGAGGCCACCGTTTGACATGATTTGTGGGATGTGTCTAGCCTTTGAGTCCCATGTTACAAATTTGCGCTGAAACGCGTTATGGTACACGATTCGTTTACCAATGTTAAAATGTTTATTTTGTCTTAAATATTGGATATAAGAAGCCCATCTTTTCCCGGTAAGATCACAACATTACTGTTGATTTAAAATGACAATTAATTTGTGTTTTCAATGTCAAAGTCTTTGGATGATATTGAGTTAGAGACTTAGCTACTTTAACTAATGGATATAAAATGGCTGCTGAAATGAGCAGAGAAAAATAACATCTCGAGTATTAAATAAGTTTATAGTTTCCATTTTGAACCCAAATGGTAGATAAATGAAATGAAATGTAATGGGGTTTAGTGTCCTACTGTTCTGCTCCTATACTGGTCTAAAGAAGATGGGCATACGCCATACAGTGTGCTATGAGGTAAACTATCTCGGCCAATACAGGGATCGAACACGCGACCTCTAGGCTAGTGAGCCAGCGACTTACCCACTTAGCCACTGTGGCTTCCAAATGGTGGATAAATGAATCTAGTGTTTTTAACTGATGTTAGAAATTAGAAATATGATTATAATATCAACAAATTATTGACGACCTTTATATTAAATTTAACTCACCTGTAAATCACATCATTTGTGGAACTTTCATCAAAAGCATAATCAAATCGAAAACTCTGGTTTTCTAAATACTTTGTGAGGTCAACTTTTAACTTTGGTTCATGAATTATCACATTTTCTTTATTAGGGACAGTTGTTACATCGGGTTCACCTTTACCTATTTCTGTTTAAATATAAAAAAATACCTTTACAAATTAAAACACTGTCTGGGAATTTCTCAATCTGATTAAAACGCAGATCCTATTTCGTTTTGTTTTTCTATAGTTCAAAATTTTGTTTTACTTATCTTTACTACACTAGGATCTGGAAGAGTGATTATATAAACCGTGTTCTGATTGATGAGAGGGATTAGCCAATGAAACATGGATTGGTTAATCAAATGTCTGACATAATAGGGTGAAAAGCCAATCATATGAACTCTGACATGACCTTCCACTACAACTGGCCAGATCTTCATGTAGTGAAGGCCATCGGAAGTATAAAAAAAACAAAACGAAATATAGATCTGTATCCTTTTAGACAGACTACCTGTTCCTGCATCCAGTATAGTGGCATTGCTATGGCATTGGGGGTTAGGTGGGTGAATGGTTAACGTGTGCATGTTGTATCATAAGGTCTGTCATCGAGCTAAGTGGCGTGGTTTCAATTCCCTGCTTGTAAGTAAGGAATAAGGATGCCTGGTCAACCTCGTGGGTTTTCTCCGGG